TCATGTCCTTCTCAATCTTTATCTTAAACCGTATTAAGTTATGATCACTATTGCCTCGATGTCCCCCTACTCTTACTTTTCTTATCTGCTCTGATTCATTTCCCATTACTAAATCCAGCAGTGATTCTTTCCTCGTTGGGCCTCTTACATGCTGGGTAAGAAAGAAGTCTTGTACACACTGAAGGAGCTCCATTCCCTTATCCCCTTTACCTACCTCTTCTAGCCAATTTATTTGGGGGTAGTTGAAATCCTCTATGATTATTATTCTGTGTCTTTTACTCATTTCCCTAATTTGTTTGCATATTTCTTCATCTTTAGGTGGTCTGTAGAGTAACCCTACTTGTGTGATTGATCCCTTATCTTTTATCTCTATCCACACAGATTCTATTTCTATCTTACCGTTGGCTATGTCCCTTTTTTCTAATGTCATGATGTTATCCCTAATGAGTACAGCTACTCCACTGCCCTTTTTCCCCGTCTCTATCCTTTCTAAATATGTTATACCCTGCAATGTTTAATTGCCAGTACTGTTCTTTCTGTAGCCATGTTTCAGTAAACCTACTATATCTGGTTCCTTACTACAAATTATTGTCTCCAGCTTTCCTGATTTATTCCGGATGTTGTGTAGATTGATGTTCAGACAGTTTAATTTGTTTTTATTAGTTGTTCCTCTCACTTTATTTTTGACAATCGTTTCACACTTTTGTTCTATAATTGTATTAATTTCCTGACAGTTTATGTTCTTATTCCTTAGTTTTGTCTTGACCTATACTCTCATCTCCCGTTTCCTTTATATTTGGGTTTAAGTCATTTCCATCTGATCCCTCCCCCCATTTTATTACTTTAAAGCCTTTGCCACAGCCCTATTTCCGCTTTCCACTAGGACACTGGTTCCATTCCAGTTCAGTTGGAACCCGTCCCATCAGTACAGCTCCTTCCTGTCTCAGTACTGGTGCCAGTGTCCCATGAAATGGAACCCTTCTTTCCCACACCAATCCTTTAGCCACATGTTAACTTTCCTAATCTGTTTCTCCCTACTCCAATTTGCACATGGCTCAGGTAATAATCCATAATCCTCGAGGTCCTGTCTTTTAATTTAGCTCCTAACTCCTGAAACACCCTCTGCAGGACCTCCTCCCTATTCTTACCTACGTCGTTTGTCCCAACATGGACCACGACAACTGCATCTGCCCCCTCCCTTTCCAAATTCCTCTCCAGCCAACTCGAGATATCCCTTACCCTGGCACTAGGAAGGCAACACACCCTTCGGGACTCTCGTTCATGCCCCAACTATTGAATCCCCTATCATTACTACATTACTATTCTATTCCTCCCACCTTTGGACAGCCTTCTGCTCCACGGTGCCTTGGTCTGCATCATGGCTGTCCTCCCCGGAGTTTTCCTTCTCATGCTCACAGGGAGGGATGAACGTGGGATGGAATTCCATAGGGTGGGGGTAGAGAGGCTGAAGGCTCTACCCCAATGGTAGGCGGACCGGGCTGGGGGACATGGAGCAGGCCGGAGCCTGCTGAGCAGAGAGAGCGGACACGTTGACAAGGGGTTAGCAGGTCGGAGCGGTAGGAGGGAGCAAGGCCATGGAAGGCCTTGAAGGTGAGGACGAGAATTTTGAACTCGATCCTCTGAGGGATGGGGAACCAGTGGAGCCAGGCGAGGGTGGGTGTGATAGGATCTCGGAGTCTGGTGTGGGAGAGGACACCAGCTGCAGAGTTCTGGATGATCTGCAGCTTGTGGAGGGAAGAATTGGGAAGGCTGACAAGCAGGACGTTGGCATAGTTGAGCCTGGATGTAATGAAGGCATGTATGAGGTTTTCGACGGCCTGAAGGGTGAGTCAGTGGCAGAGTCGGGCAATGTTGCGTAGGTGGGGAGAGGCAAAGTAGGTCATGGCATGGATGTGGGGGAGAAAGGACAGTTGAGGGTTGAACAAGACTGACTGGCATCAGTGCACATTGTACTTCAAAACATATCATTGTGTTTCAAATTCCATCACCGCAAAAATAACTTGCATTCATATAGTTTCCTTCACACAAGCTGCGGCGGAGCGACAAATAACATTGTGGTTTGATGGAAAGGGAAGGAAGGGGACTAAAGGCATGGTTGAAGAAGAAAGTCTTCAGGTGTTATCAGAAGAAGGGAAAGAGTTGGTAAAACGGAGGGATTGAGGCAAGGAATTTCAGGAATTTGGGGCATATTGAGGCAAAGCACATTCGTCAATTGTGGAGTGGAGGGGAAGAGGGACGAGTACAACACCTACGCCAGCTGAGCGAAGGCAGTAGGTAACAGAGTGGGGAGTGAGCAGATTGGAGAGATAGGGAGGTGCCAGGGAGTAAAGAAATTTGGAAGTCAGTAAGGATTTTGAAATCAATCCATTCTGCAACAGGGCAGCCAGTCAGTGGAGAGTGGCAAGAACTGGGGTGATGGGCAATGATGGAAACGGAAGTGTAACAATGGAAATTTAAATGATATTTGAAGTGCGCCAACAGATCTGGATGTCGTGAACTGGGGTGCTGGACTGTTGGGAAAGAAAATGTCCACAACGCAACTGAGTTGTAAGAGAACCCACATTAGAGGTGCCTCCTAAAAGGGCTCTCCTGTACTACATGTGCATTTAGAACGTTCGCAAACTTTAAATATTGATACGGAAAGTATTAAAAACAATGGAAATTCCAAAACAGAAATATCTGGTGCATTGAAATGTTCTCATTTTTCCCCCAAAAGACTGACCACTTTCTAGAAAATATGCCGGTAAGCTTTTCTTTGTTTGTTTTCAAATATCCAATGCTGCAGTGTGAATCAGATCAAAAGAGGCATACATCAGCACATCATGTGTATGTGATTTCCATCACAATGAAAGTGAGGAAGCTTCTTTGTTTACTTGAAACAAAATTGCTGAACATTTTTGAAAATGGTGCCCTTTTAATTAATTCGAATACATTACATAATTCAAGTGCCAAATTATCAATTCAGAAAATAATTGTTCTGCCTAACAATTATGCTAATAGAGAGGTTTGAAAGAGCGAGAATTTTTGTTTTGTTTCAGACCAAAAATGTATTTGTAGTATTTGTGGCAATGCTGAGTTTTCAAACTAGAGGCTCCAAAGAAAAGATAAAAGCTCCCTCCTGTGGCAATGAATGGAAACTGCAGCATTAAATAATATTTGACCAAATACCATTAAAGCCACATTTGTCCTGATTTTTAACCAAAGCATCTTTCTTTTTGAGGGCTACTCAATCAGATAAAAAAGTTTCCTTCCAAATATTATTCCCTCCCCCCCCACTCGCCCCCGAAATAGCCCTTATATTTTCTGGGATGGTCTGCACTCACTCATTCGTATGCAATCACCATAGACGCACAAGAGTGATTGGCAGAGAGAGAGACAGACAGGCAGGCAGACAGACAGACAGAGAGAGAGACAGACAGAGAGAGAGAGAGAGAGAGAGAATTAGAGGGACTCAGTATAAATGGCATGGGCAGAATGGCTGAAAACTCGACAACCAATGGTGGAGCAGAAGAAGCGGAGATCATGAAGCCAATCAGTGAAAAAAGCAGGGATGTAGAAGGTTGCAGACGTAAGATGGGGCGAGAACATAGAGAGATTTGAAGGTGAAGGTAATCTCAAATCCCATCCTATCAGATGATAATAGTAATATTTGAATATCCCTCAGAGGTTACAGTTCAAGATCCTGGTTCTCACCTTCAAAGCCCTCCACAGCCTTGCTCCTCCCTACCTCTGTGACCTCCTAATCCCCTATCAACATGTCTGCTCCCTCTGCTCATCGGGCTCCGGCCTTCTTCATGTCCCCCACCTTACAAGCCCCACCACTGGTGGGCGGGCCTTCAGCCTCTCTGCCTCTACCCTCTGGAACTCCATCCCACAGTCGTTCCACTGCGCACCATCCCCTGACTCCCTCAAGACCCGTTTCAATAACTTCCTCTTCGACCGTGCCTTCAGTCACCCTCATAACCCTACCCTCACTGCCCTCCACCCCTCTTGATCCCAATCATCAGCTCAGTTGCGGATCCCTGACTGTCCAGAGCTTTGGCACATCTTCCTGACATGAAAGATGCTATACAAATATAATTTGTTGTTGTTGATGGAGATAACTGATACATTTAGAGAATCAACTTCATGTTCACAATAACGGATGAAGGAGTATCCCCAAACTCCACAACTTCTGAATGTGTTGGTTATTGGGAGAGGGGGTGTGGGAAGGAGGAGGAGAACTTAGCATTTTATACAAGACTGCTCTGACTGGCTTTTTGAAAAAGTGCCTCCATTCAAATAAAACACATAACTTCACAAACATAAAATGTTTGTATAAACAGCTTTCTAGACAGAATCAATGTAAGGATAGTTGTTTTATCAGATTAAGAGAGGACTCTAGCATTCATACAGCAATAGAGGGTAAAAGTTGTGACTATATGGCTAAGGTACCAGGGTAAACATTCCAGGAGAAAATATCAGGACATAATTTAACAGATAATATTTCAATGATTTAGAATATGGACAGACTGAAAATTTGAGATGATTTGCTCTGCAAAGTATATAAAAATGAGAGCTTTGGAGTGGGGGTAGGGAAAAGGGTTGTCTGCAGGGACAACCTTTGTTCAGGTGAAGAACTTGTATCGGTCTAATTCAATTTAAGGGTGAGTAGGGCCGAACTTCACTCACCCAAATAAAATCGTCTTAAGATGTGGGTGCAGAAGGCAGTTGTAAGGGAGTTGGGCAAAGGTCCTGGTGGTGTGACTCAATGATTTTTCTCGGTTGCATCCTGTTCTCACAATAAATAAATGGATCTGAAGAACTCGCAACAAGGGCTGGGAAAATGATTTTGGAAAATGTGTTGAAGAAAAGAAGGCCATTGAGTACCGATGCCAATAAATCAACATATTGCATGGATCTTGTTTGAGATCTTTCTAACCGGTCACACGAACAGTCAAAATAATACATTCAAAGAAAAATAAAACCACAGTACTTACACTAAATTTCACTATGTCGTATATCAAGTATCGAGGAACAGCTTGTCCATTTACTTTGTCAATGATCATTTCCTGGCAAAAAAGAAAAGCTCATGAGCAATTTTTTTAAATTTTCAAAATGTAACTCAAGGGGTGCTATTCTTTCCCTTTCTTTCACTGAACAACAGAAAGAAGGAAATAGCATTAGAAAATACAAAGAACGGTGATTTGCTAAGAGCCATAGATAATGCAATACAAAATTACATTTGTAAAGCTTTCACATCAGGAGGGAGTCCCAAGGCTGTGATAATAGGAGCTGCAAATGGCAGTCTTACAACAGATTATAAATAACATTAATGAAACTAAAATTTAAAATTTTCAACCATCTACAGATTGTACTATTCATTTCAACAAATTGTACCATGTTTCCTCAATGATTCACTTATTAGATGTTGGACAACCAGTTAGCTGGTATTGGAACAGGTCAGGTTTATTATAAATCAGTTTTCCTTAGAACACATTCCATTTTCGTCAACACATTCCAGTTTTATCTATCAAGAGAAATCTAATGATTGGATAAGACGTGGCTATTCAGCCTTGAAAAGATATCTCGGGGTATCTTTTAGTGTATATGGAATGCTTCATAGACTGGAGAAAGTGAATCCAGACAATATTTTAACACAAAGCATAAGGTCAAGAGTTTAGGGTTATGAAAGACTATTTTTAGGACAGATATCAGGAATATTGTAATTATATTTATTTTAACACACAAAAGCTATTCAACAACTTGAATGAAATATCAGGAAGGGTTGATGAAACCAAAACACTGAAGAAACAGCTTGATACCGTAATAGGACGGTAAAGTTGGTATTCTGGAAGAACAAAATCAAAAGGCTAAAGAGGGTTTCCCTTCTTATATCTTATAAGTAAACAACTTTAAAAAAAAGTTGCATACAAAAAAGTTTAGTGTATACAAAAAAAATTTGTATACATTAAAACTCACATAAGTCATATCAGACGGAACTATATTCGATCTGACTTGCATGAATTTTGAGTTACAAGCAAACTTACATAAGTCGTATAACATACAAGTTAATCAATAATCCATGCAGAGTAAGCCTACTTAATATAGTGGGTAAGCGCCCATGCACCAATGGGTCAAGACTTCACTTCCTGCGATCCTTTGCAACTGGTAAGTATGGTAATGCCGTTAGGAGTTAGGAGATGATTTTAGAATGTATTGGGGACCAAGAAACCATTACGATTTAGCTATTTATCTGATTTATAAAATACAACTAGTGCAAAGAAATCTAATTGTTTTTTGGTAACTGAATGGGAATCAGGTACATGTATGACTTAGACGATTATTCAATTTATAAAGATAAAACTTAAATGAGTTTTACTGGACTTAAACCAGAATTAATAAAAAAAAGTCAATATAAAAAATAAAGTCAACTTAAAAGAATAAATTCTTCCACTAAGAAATAACTTATTTGTACCTATTGGAAAATATGCTGTATTGCATCTAGTGCATTCATTACAAACACACGTAGTGATTTTTAGAAATTAACTGATCCAACGTTCTATCCACCTGGTTTTCAACTGTTGTTCATATTACCACTGGCCTTTTCAAATAACATGCCAACCAAGACCTAAAGCACGTTTACACTCCACACAAATTGAAAGATCACTATATTGATCTTGTTGATGTTCCAATTTTTCTATTTGTGCTTAACTTTGGCATCTCCACAAATAACCATCAAGAGCTGAACTGCACTGTGTACTTCACGGCAATTAAAAAGTTTGTTCTTTACCACTGCACAATTGTCAGAGCACATCAACTCGACTAGCAAAAGTCAGAGTAAAAAAACACTCCTTTTTCCAAGTGGCGGCTTAATTTTCATGCACATTTACTATTTATTGAACATAAGTAAAAGATTATGCACAGATGTTTTGGAAAACATGTAACATATGCATACAAAGATGACATTAATTTCCAAGCTTGGAAAAGAGTTCCTGAGGAATGATTAAATGCATTAAATTTGAAGCAATAATTGACATTGCCGTTTAACTGCTGGGATGTTTTAACAAAGCTTTGCAATCACTACATTTTACAGTAAATCCTGCAAAGAGCTTTGAGATGTATGGCAGAAGTATATCAAATGGAAGAATTATTATGTAATCAAGAGCTGAACTGCATGGGTAAAGCCCATTTAGAATATGGGGAAGCGATATTGGTGGTGACCATAGGTTTCCCACACAACTGCAACCCTCTCTTTGCCATTGGTTCAAAATGAACCAGCTATTTTCATTGAGGCAGATTCTCACCGACTCTTGACATTTTTCCTATTCCAATGACTCAAATTTCTCATTATAATTCAATATAATTTCCTTTCACATAAGAAGTCAATTGTAAATGCTTTGCTCTAATTAAATTTGTTTGATATTCCAGGGGAACTCTGTTTGCAATAGTCATGGTTCAAAGTTCCTTTACACAGTGTGTGTGTATATATATATATTTCTAATGCAATACAGCAAAAAAAATTAAGTACATGGAAAATTCAAATGAAATTTTCAGATTGAACAGGATTTTGGAGCAAATTAAAATAATTTTTACTTTTAAGTAAAAGTGGAATGGAGGTGAAGGGTTCGGGTTGAATTTGAGATAAATAATTAACCTTACCCCATCCAGCAGGGTGCTGGTCAAATGAATTCGAAGATCCTTCCGAAAAGGGAACTCGAGGTTTGCTAGTTCAAAAACTGAATTGTCTCGGTCAATCATGTAAACTTCATTTCTGCCGTCAATAAGCATCATATACCTATAACATACACAACATAAAGGTTTTAAATGAATTTCTGCTTTACCACTATTCGCTAACCCAGAAGCCACCATTTTTTTAAAAAAAATTCTAAACACTCAAGTGTGGTAGACAATACAACAACTTGCATTTATATAGGGCACTTCACATAGGATAACGTCTTGAGAGCACTTCCCAAAGACTAGGTTAGATGCCAAGCATGGTGGTTGAGGGGAAAAAGACCATAGTCAAAGAGATAGATTTTTAAGCAGGATTTAAAGACATACAAGAGCTGAGACAGAGGGGTATAGGAAGGCATTAAAATAGTAAAGGAAGGTATTAAAAAGGTAAAGGAAGGTATTAAGAAGGTGGAATCTAGGGGAGAAGTTGCAGTTTACATCATCCTAAAATATTTCTATTAAATAACATCAATCTAGAAGGAGAATCATTTACCACAAATAAAATTATTTCTCATGGAGATCACTGACACTATCTAAACAGGCCACTGCCTAAATATAAAATACCTAAAGCTCAATGTTCATGATTGCTAGTTTGCCCGTAGCAACATTATTTCACTGAGGAAATTGGTTTTGCAAAGTTGCAACTCCCCTAAAGGCACTATATAAATGTAAATTTGTAAATGTATTGGACTGGTTCAGTCCAATACAATAAAAATGACAAATGTACATTTATATAGTGTCTTTCACGTCAGGACAATGCCCCAAAGCAGCTAACTTCAATACCTTTTTACTAACTCCAAGTACAACAGTTCCCAAGGCCAGAAACAAACATGAACCAATCTTGCTGGACTCCATTTTTTTAATACTCAAACGCACCAGCACATCACAATCTATACACCAGTTTTCCCACATATCAAACATCATGAAGAGCCTGAAAGAAACCAAGACAAAAGAAGACTGTAAAAGAACAAAAAAATAGAGAAAACTACCAAGACAAATGCATATAGCAAAATGTCAAAGAGTCAACTCAAAATAAAACATATCCTTCCTTATCAAGTTCTGAAGAGACAGCAGCTACAGCGGCACACTTCCACATCCCTTCTGTCATTATCGCATAAATAAATAGTTTTTTTGCATTGACGCAGTGGTACAGGCGGCCAGAAGGACCATGGCTCCCTATTGAGATCATCTCTCAACATCCTTGCACTATGTGCAAATACAACTCTGACTGTTAGTAACAAGAAGGTGGGATGCGTTATCCATAGCATCACAAATATGTTCGTAATCCATCTGCAATCAAAACAAGAGCAGTAATGATCAACAACTACCAAAAAGCTGGAAAAGTGCACTTCTTCCTGGAGACTTATACAAGAAGAGACCCTACCCCACGAGCAGTTTGACACAAAGGGGAGGAGACTGATTCCCCTGCTTATGCCACCATCTGCTCAGTCATAGGCAAAGCTTTGGACAAAGACCAAGAGGGGCTGAAGCAGTAAATGAGCTTACAAGATATTACTGTCTTATTATCAATTATTCCACATAGATTTTGATTCTAATTATATTTCTGGAAGGATATTAAGAAGAAAACAGCAAAAGAAAATCTGGGAACCATTCCCCCACAATAAACCATTTAATTGCCTCGGGTGACACAGACCACCATTGCCTGCAATCGTGAAGAAGCCCACAGCACACGCGATCTCCTGCTAAAAAATGATCATATAGACATGGAAAAGCAGCTGGAGACAGAATAAGAAAAGTAACATGTATAGTGTTAATCCAGACTTGAAAATAATTTGGCCTAAATATGGTAAAAAGCCATCTGCCCTAAATAGTCAGTGCTGTAGAAATGTCGAGCTATAACAGATTTTTTCCTTCACAATTATTCATAAAATCAATGAATTATATTCATAATTGTTCTTGGGAGCCAAAATTGTTTTGGTTTTAAAGCCTTATAACGTGGCTTGCAGTATTCAAAACCTATCAGACTTTGAATGTTATTCCAACTGACGCAATTTAAATACATAATTTATAGTATTTATATAATGATTTCCACTAAAAGGTTTTTCAAATACAATTTTCTGACAGACATTTATCATCATTGTGCCATTTAACTTTAATGCTGTGTTTATGTTCCACTGTTTTGGCATCCATTGTCTAGCAAATGCAGCATAAATGGAGGCTCAGACAACACAACAACCCTGAAGCCACCTGATTTTGCACTAAGGCAGTAGTAACAGGTGCAAAAATCATACATCGCTCACTCCCTGGTCTCTTTTCAAAGTTCTGACAGTGCCATGGAAGTAACTGAATTATTCACTAATTATTTATGCTTAAGTGCCTTTCCATTTTTTCTAAAATATGTTAAGACTAATGACCTTAAACATGAATCACAAATGCATTTGGCAGCACCACTGACAATCTGTCTGTAAATTAAGATAAAGGTTGAAAATACATAGTCTATCCAAAACACTGCATCAGCTTCCAAAAACATTGTCTACTTTCTATATTACAGCATTTTGAATGTTATACAATGCATATATTGCACAAATCCCAAAATTACAACAAGAGTTTGAAGAGCACACAGTCTGGACTCAACCAATTTAGGCAAGATTTTATTTTGGGCGAGAAATAATCTAAACAATTTCAGCGTCAGGAAACAGTTCAAATTCACTCATGAAATCTAATTAGTAATTCCTGTTGCTGCATATGCTTGTTAAGATACCAATTAGTGATCTTATGTGACATCCCCTCCGCCCCAAAATACACCACAGGTGAAATTTGGCATGTAAATTTATACCCGTCTAATTGTGTGCTAAAAATCAGACACTTTATTCTTAAAGAATTAACGGAATATTGGCTGCTTGTAGTGCTAACACCCTGTACCGTATAGCTTCAAGAACCACACAATAAATTTACTATGGCACCTCACACATCAGGAGGACATCCTAAAGTGCTGGAAAAAGGAAAAATACTTACAGGACAGAAGGCCACTCGGCTTATCGTGTGTGCTGGCTCTTTGAAAGAACAATCCTGTGGTCCCATTTATTAGCCTTTTCCCTATATTCCTGCATATTACTCCTCCTTAGAAATCTATTTTGTTCCTTGTTGAAAAACTATATGGTTCCTGCCTCGACCACTACATATTGCGTGACAATCAATCCACATCCTAACTCTAAAACATATCATCCTAATCTTCCCTTACTAATTATCTTAAATTAATGCCCTCTAGTCACAAACTCAAATAATAATAATTATCCTTACATTTGATATAGCACCATTCAGATTGTGAGACATCTCAAAGCACTTCACAGGATTCACTGTTAAGTGTAGTAACTGAATATTTGTGGGCAAATGCAGCAGCCTATTGCACACAACGATGTCCCACAAACAACCATGAAATAAATGATCAATTTTAATTGAGACATCATTGGGCAAAACATTGGGAACAACTCCTTTCTATTGGATAGTGATATGGGATCTTTAACGTCCACCTGAACAGTCAGGACCTCAGTTTAAAATCTCACCACAAGAACTACACTAATAATAACCATCAATAACACAACAAACCCATGGCACTGCATGAGAGTGTCAGCCTAGATTTTTTTTGGGTGGGGTGGTCAACGGGCGTCTGACATATGCAGAAACCCATCAGCATCCTAAAGAGTATACAATCAAGCAGAATTCCATACATCCCTCCTAAACAAGGAAATTCCAGAGAGGTTTATTGGAATGGACTCTCTCCCTGGAAAGGAGCATCCCGCTTACCGAATTCCAGAAAGTATGAGGCGCAGGCTGGCAAAAGGCAAGACTCACAGATCCGAGACTAAGGGTTGGGGGTACTGCTGGAGTTTAACCAGCTAAATTCACATTTAGAGAGCACAGAAATACAAGCTTTCCCGCTGCATGTTCAGCTAAGGACCAACAACAACAAATTACATTTGTATAGCGCGTTTCACATCGGAAGGATACCCCAAGGTGCTGTACAGCTAAGGGTTTGCATCTGAGCTGGTTAGCTCTAAACAACCGTACCCCCACTCTACCGGTTAGAGCTTTGACTTGCAGAGTTAACAAGAACTGAGTGGGAAGAGTCGCTGACCCCAGTGACTGGTCTGTTCTTCCAAGCCCTGCCAATGAGTCAGGTTGGTTGTGCTGTAATCAGCAGTGCCCTGATGCGGACCTGTCTGGCTCAGGAACTAGTCTAATGAGACTGCCACAGAGGATAGGCTTGATTCTGACATGCTATAGCCAACCCTGTCACCTTGGAGCCAGTTCAACTTGAAGGAGACCCCACTTACCTGAGAAATCTGGGATGGAAACTTTTCTGAAGGTATCAAACACAAGCTGTCAGCTTACAAAAGGTGTTATAAGATCCAAATCAAATCATCAGATCTAATCAATTTGCTTCATTTGTAAATAAAGTTAGCCAATGAACCATATTTCCCATCACCCAGCTATCTTAAGACTCATTAGCTGAAATCAAATTCTGTTCCTGTTCCTGAAAGTACCGACACAGTAAACAGTGCCATACATCAGAAACTATCTTGTAAAGCCCTGCTAGATTATAAGATTCCCAAACGAGGAATCCAGGCAAATCAGTTGTCCTGATTCTGGACTGCATAAGAATTTGAAAATGAATAGAAATGAATTTAAAAGACCCAGTGAACTTTTTAAAATTGTTCTGGTAGGAATGCATGGTTAAAAAAGCATTGTATTTGATATAGTACATTTCATGTCTACTGTAAAGTGCTGCAACTATATATTTTGAAAGCAAGTACTGCAGCCAATTTGCTCCCAGCAATGTCCCTCAATTAGCCTTAAAGTGAATGATCAATATTATCCAGGGAAATGTCAGCCAAGACACGGGGAAGAAATTTCCCTTCTCTTTTGAATAGTGCAATGGGAATTTTAATGTCTACCTGAATAGACAGGTGGGACCTCAGTTTTAACATCTCAACCAAAGGATGAACAGTGGTGAGGTGCATTTTGGCAAGAAATGGGCATTCAAATGAAAATTAATTATCCCATTAGTTTAAGAATTAGCTATGTATCACGAGCAGTGACAAAGCAGTTGATGAATGAATGGGATCCAATGTAATGGGTCACTCATGGTCACACAGAGAAAACAGTATTGCTATGCAATACTGGGACGAGAAATTTCTTTATAAATGCTTAACACATTATAACTGCATATATTTGTATTGGGAGAACATACGAGTATTCAAGTCAATTTAAAATGCACAATTTCAAGTAAATTGCATTTTTTAATAAAGAATCCTCCATTTCTCTCACACAAGTATCAATAATTCTTATAAAATTGCTTTTCCTGCTATAATTGAGCCTTCAAATAAAGTAATGAATGCAATAAAGAAAATAAATAGTTCACTGTAAATCTCCAGCCAGTTGATTCCACCATTTCCAAAGGTAAACTTAGCTTCTGTCAAAAAAAAACTCAGTTCAAATAAATTAATGCCTCACTGTTTTTATTCTAATTTATAAATTTAGCGGATCCAATTTTTTTCACTACTTTTTCCCACAGGCACATGGTTCTCTGATCTTGGTCTGGCCTCTTCTTGCGGGGGTGTTGATTGGCCTCAGTTACTACCCCTCCTCCAAGTGGACATTATTCATTTGTGAGCCTTGGTAGTGAGCCTCAGTAGATCACTCGACTGTAGAGAGCACCATCGCCGAGCCTGATCTCTCCCCATCTGACTGCACACACATGCCTAACTATGGACGCTGAAGATGGACAAGATGGAACATTGGCTAGTTTGACCCTCCCCCACCTTGGAAAAGCTGAGGCTAATATAGCCTTTGCATGTAACTGCAGCTGAGCCCAGCAAGCTCAGCACGTAACGGGATTCAAACCAGCAAGGCCTTGGGCCGTAAGCTATAGCTCCATCCATTACACAATCAGGAATGCCCGACCGGTTTATCAGAATAGCTATAATTCTATAAATCATTTAATCAGTGAACAGTCACTCAAAAAGCTAATGGGGTTTATATGAACTGTATAAGGATATGTCAAAGGAAACTGCTTCTCTTCCTGTCCCTGCATGATCATTTGAGGTATTCCTCCAGGTTCCATCCTTGGCCTCTCCTCTGTGTCACCATCTACATACACCCTCCTCTCTCCCCCTGTCCCCATTGGCATCATCTACAGTCGTGGAGTACACTTCTCCAAATATGTGGATCCCACCCTCATTCATGCTATTTTATTCATACATCTTCTTCCACTTCTTTTTCTATCTATACTAATAAAACGACAATGTCTGTGTGTGTATCAGCCAAGATCTCAATAATTGATTAACATAGAGACATGATTTATACCTCATCAGAAAATTATGAGTATCTGGGAGTGTTATGGGCATACTTGTTTTTGGGGATCTCCTATCTCCTATTAATGAGTTAGGATAAAAGCTCATCACATATGTATGGCAGTTTTGCGCTGCAGTTGCACCTGGTGGCCGTGCCGAATCCCAGTGGCGCTGTGGCAGCATGCGTCACAGAGCACGTAGGTATGCAGCACGCACCCACTCAGATAAAGCCAAGCGATTGGAACAAGATAGCAGCGGTGAGGTGGAAGTTGCCTCGAGTGGTGTTGCTGTTCGACTCCCTGCTGCTCCTGGGCAGCCCCAGGCTGTGTGGTGCCATATCAGAGTTGGGCCAGTAATGGGTGACTGTTGGGTCAGTAAGGCCGTCGGGTTTCCAGGTTCCTTCGCACCATGGTCTAGCAGCGACTAGCCGAGGAGGGTGAAGCCTTGGGCTCAAGTTGGGGCCTCACCCGGGGCTGAGGTTTAGCCCCTCCCCTTATGTATATCATTTTATATAATAATCTATCATACTAATAAAGACAAAATGTCTGTCTGTGTGTCGATCCATGTGACAATCTACATTCCATATTGGATCTTTTGGTTGCAAGCGAAGCTGCACTGGCTGCAGCAAATTTATTAATAATAGTCTTTAGATTTGGTATAGCACTTTTCATGGTGGGAGGATGTCTCCACGTGCTTCACAGGATTTACTGTGAAGTTACTATAATTGGGGCAAAGAAGGCAGTTCAAATGCACATAGCAATGCCCACAAACAGTCATGAAATGAATGACCAATTTTTTGGGTGGGGGGGATTGTTGGCCAGGATACTGGGAGAAACTGCCTTCTCTTTTTGAGTAGCGCTATGGGATTTTAACAACCTCCCGAGCAAGCAAATGTGTAGTGACAGTTTTTTTTGTCAATAGGACTGTAGAAGTTGACAAACATGCATTATTTTACACTGCGACTTAATGTCATATTTCTGCCAGCAAAGTAAAAGGCTGTGCAAATTAAATTGTAAAACAGATGGCCAAACAGTGAAACTTTTGGTATAAAATTAGGAGTACTTGATCATTTCCAACTACTAATTGATCATACAATTTAAACAATAAGACATGTTGGCCAAAATACAACAACAATTCATTTACATTTAAAATCACTGCACAAGCAGAGCAATTACAAGAAACTGTCTGGTTGATGGCCAAATGCATTTTCGCATAAATCAAAAACTCCAGGTGTGCCAAATTTTGTTCTGCATCAGCAGCTTTTTTAAAAAAAACTAAATCTTCTAGCAATCAAATTAGAGCAGTATTAACTCCTGTCTTCTAAGTATCTTGACATAATTGTTAACATTAAATAAGTCCTGGATAACAAGGTTTCATAAAAATGGAGTTTCAGTCAATCCTGTCTTGCTTCCATGCTCATAGCCTTACTGTTTTAATCATAAATTACAGCTCAGGATGAAGTATTTCAGTCGATCAAACCTGTGCTGATTCTAGTTCCTGCACTGGAACTAAACTGCATATATAAAATATAAAAGCATCAAATGGATTTCATTGCAGGAGGAGGGGATCCTCCGGTAGCTAAGAATGAGTTCTGGCTTGTTGCTGGTTCAGGAAAAGACAACATTTGCAACTTGATTTTTAATTCAAAACACTCCCTCCTCCCTGACTATACACCTTCTCATCAACAACTTCTCTTTATATAGCACCCTTCATGCTGGATAGCATCTCAAAGAGTTGCAAATATATAGAAAGAAAACTACAGTACCTCAAAATGAAGGGACAATGTTTACATACATCATTATTAATGCAATATCAAGCACACAAAATTCCTAAAGTAAAGAGCAACAAAGACTTGTGCCAAACATTGTAAGTCAATGTTATTTTCTCAATTTAACATGCATTTAGACTGCTCAAACAGGCACATGGAATCATGGAATTTTTGTGACACGTAAGGAAGCAATTTGCCTGGTCACATCTCTTTTGGTACTTGCTCCCTAATCCTTCAAGGAGGATATGTCTTCAAGTCACTAATCCCGAACCTCTGGAACAACCTGCCTCAATCCCTCCACCTTCTTTATCTATCTTTAAATACATTAAGACTTACCTTTTCGATCACACCTATGGCCACATCTCTCTCCATCTGTTTTCAGTCTCACAATTGTGCAGAGCTCCTAGACACTACCCTGCATGAAGGGTGTTATATAAATGCAAATTGTTGTTGTAATCCCATTTCCAAATCCTTTCATATTATTTTCCTTCAACTATATATCGAATTCCCTTTCAGATGTTGCTATGCATTTGACTTCAGCAAACAATAACAATACTAGTGCCCCCGCTTTGCCCGCCCCACCATTGGAGGGCGGGCCTTCAGCCTCTCTGTCCCACTCTCTCGGACTCCATCCCACAGTCCCTCTGCCTCGGCCCCTCCCTTACCTCCTTCAAGACCCTCCTCTTCAACTGTGCCTTTGGTCACCCTCCTACCTCTACCCTCCCCACCCTCCTGATCCCAACCACCAGCTCAGATGCGGATCCCTGACTGGCCAACGCCTTGATACGTCCTCCTGTAATTTGTTGTTGCTGTTATGTCAGGGCACTTCTATATCCATTTTTTCGTCACAACATTTGTTCTCTCTGTGCCATGTATGACTGCTGAGTACACATGCAAACCATCCCCAAAGTTCGCCAATTTGATTCCTGAGATAGCAGCTGGGTGATGCATTAGAATGCCATCACCTGATATTCTCCCTTTCCAATTGCTCAACTCAGATAACAAATTCAGATCCACAGAGAGATCTGGCAGTGCCTCAGTGCAACAAAACCACACTGCCAGGTCACAATATCAATAGGTTTCCGGCATTAATTACATTGTGATAATATATGTACCACATATTAATCCAAAGAATTGTTGATAGTTCATCAGTCTGACTCATCAATGAGACTTGGAGGCATGGACATTTCATGTTTCCTGCAAGCCAACACAATGGGTTCTCAAGGGGAGGGGACCCTAGCTGAACAATTACCAATACATCTTACATTCATAATAATACATGTTAAATTTAAATCACTTTGAGGGAGTGGGATAGAAAGACATATTTCAGCAAATATTGTACATATCGCTTGCCCACAAATGTACAGTCAATTCACTTTACAGTGTGTTCGGTGAAGCGCTTTGGGACGTCCTCCCGACGTGAAAAGCGCTATATCAAATGCAAGGATTATTATTATTATTATTATTACATACCGTGTACCATCTGCTTTCCAGCTGACTTTGTATGGCTTCTGGTCAATAAATTTTATGTTTTGCTTATCCATGGAAACAGGCTGGGCTCCAGGAAATCCGGACCTGTTGACAGAAATCCCATTAGTTTACCATCACAAATAACTACATGAAATATTTATCTTGCAACTTAAGCAGTCATCAAGGTCAACTCGTATGAAAAAACAACTGAGGTAGAAGGTCTCAATTTTCTGGCCTTTGTTGTAAACTGATGAATTGTGAAAATCTGCAAGAATGGGCACAGAAAAAGCACAATCACATTACAATTTATATTTTCTATTCTGCTTTAATTAGTTTCAGGGAAAGTTTTCATTTCAATGACATGCAGTATACTAAGCTTCTGGGCCTACGTTTTCTCACTAAAATAAAATACATAATAATAATATTCCTTGCATTTGATATAGCACCTTATCATGTCTTCAAGACGTCTCAAAGTGCTTCACTTTAAAGTGAATTGACTGTATATTTTGTGGACAAACGCGGGAGCCAATTGCACACAGCAGTGTCCCTCAAACATTTGTGGATTGAGTGACCAATTTATTATTATTATTTTTGTTTGAAAGAATTATCACTCCCAGAAAAGCGATCCACCAATCGACTAACAACCAGATTCCTACTTACTGCTAGATAAACAGAGGTGTGTGGAGTAAGGAAACTTGCCCAACGTTTCGCCCTGCCAGGAATCGAACCCAGGTCTCTCGCTTGCAAGGCGAGTGCTCTAACCACTGAACCACAAAATACAGGTGTAATTCTTCCCTTCCAACAAGCTTAAGGAAAACAATAATTAAGTAAAAGGCAGGGTGGAGAGGATGCTATGTGTGCAAGGCATGGCCTGTCCAATGTGTATATTACAATATCTAATACGTTTGCATTTGATATAGCACACTATGTCAAAACACCTCAAATTGCTTTACATTTTTTTGTATAGTTATTCTGTGTTTGTAGGTGAAAATGACAGCCAATGTGTACATACCAAATAGCCATGAACAATTTATTTAAAAATCTGTGATTGTTGGTCAGGAGACCTGGAGAAACTCGCTTCTCTTTTCAAATAGTGCCATGGGGTTTTTAAAGCCCAACTTAAGAAACAACAGGACCTGGATTTAACATCTCATCTGAAGGATAGCACCTCCAACAATGCAGTGCTGCACCAATGTCATCCTCGACTATGAGCTCAAGAACCCCGATGTACAGTACCTTTCAGTAAATATGCACTTATACAGTTAATTTTCCACATTCCTCTACAGTCACTGCAGTGATGTATATTACAGGGCAGACTGCATGGCCCTAAAGCAGCTCCAGTAACTGCAATGGGAACTGGTGACTCAGAGCAGCCTGGATGTTGATCCAAAGTAGCCAATCTAGAAGAGTGGGAGGGGAGGTAAAGAGCTGCCCACTCAGCCAGTAGTGGTTCTTTCTGAGGTTACACGGTGGCAGATCAACCCTCTGCCAGTCCGAATTACTGTCTCCCATTGAAGTCAAGGAAGCCACTATTGGATGCACATGGGTCACCCCCATAATATGTCACCAGAGTTGCAGAGGAAAGAGAAGACCTGAAACTGTGGGCCTCCATGAGCCTGGAAACAACCTGTAAAAAAATGAAGATATTTACTCCAAAGGTACTAACTTGCAATGTGCGTTTTAAATAACCTTTCCCAAATCATTTATCCTACTCGTAATCTTTAGGATGTGTTCATACTTAAAAGAACACTGTAAATTAATCTGTTATCAACAACAATAAAATTACATTTATAGAGCGCCTTTCATGTCGTGAGGACGTCCCAAGGCACTGGACAGTCAGGAGTCAGGACCCGAGCATGGGGGAGGGATGGGGTATCACTGACAATATGTTCCTCTACATTACAATACTATTGACAGCCTCTTGCTGACTAGCGTAACACTGTAGTAAACTACAGCACTATAACAACGTTAAGATGCTTTTTAAAAAAAATTGAGCCTTCATTTACAGTGCAATACATCTTTGGGTACATGCTTGTTTTACGAGGACACAATTGTGGGTTGAAAGTTGAATTGTTGAAACATGTAATTGTTTGTATTGAACATTTTCAACCCAATATTTTAAAAATTTCAGGTGAATAATTTTGTTGTTAAATTGCATACATTTAGCACAAATACTTGCATCAATTTATTTACCAATACAAAATGAGAGAATATAACAAAAGTGTGAGTGGATTCAGTCTCACTGTGAACAGCATGGATCTGATGCAACCACGCACTTTAACCAACTATGAAAGCTGATTTTAAAGGGAGCTCTTAAGGAAGCCAAGAAGTTCACTCAGGCCAGAAAAGATAAAAGGATATGAAAAATACATTTCTGCGCTCAACAAATTGAGACAATTCAATACTTTCCAAATTGGGCATCTAGAGACACCAATTACTCCCTAAAGCACAAAAAAGCTATTTGTACTCTGCCCAATACATCACCCAATAGGTTTCCTACTACAGAAATGTGGTGTTTCTATTCCCATGACAGCCATATGATGCTATGAGTGCACATCCAAATGTGAGGAATTCTGGATCCGACAGCTGGCTTCTGCCACGCCAACAAAATATCAATTCTTTCGCCGGACTAACATTAGTTACATTTCTCATCTATTGCCTAGTAGACTAATTACTGTACTATAACAACAGGCACATTGCTTTAACTGGATGTGTGACATTTGTGTCATGTGCTTTTGAGACATTGCTGTACACAATTTTGCAGCTGCTTTAGCTACAAAATAGTCACAAAATTTTACAATCATTCTTGTGAAAAGCTTTGAGATTTCTCAACAAAGTGATAAGGTGCTATATCAAATGCAAGGATTATATTATTTTTGGTGCAGTTTCCTCTGGTAATTTGTTTAATAAAAGTTAGAAGTCAAGTTAACATCAAGATAGAATAAATCCTCCATGATGAACAGTCGAGCAACAAAGGAAGTGTAAAGTTTAACTTGCACAAATTCAAACCCAATGCAGTGATGCAAACAGACTCAGTTTACCTCTTTACAATTCATCAAATTTATTTTTCCTGAGTGTAAATACACCAACTTCTTTGACAAACCTTTTAAGATATCTTGTTCTGCTGGACACCAAATTGACATTTTGCACATAGTATCATCGCCTCTTCTCGACAAAGGTCAGGCTGACCGTTATATTCAAATATTTTATTTTCTTCAGACGTGAGGTAGCGTTCATGAACCAACAAGTGCTTTAACAGGGTTTCAGTTTCATACTTCATCTCAATGCATTCCTCGGTCATGGGAATACATTGAACGATTTATTTTTAATGGACTAATCAGACGTAGTGTCCACAATCCAGGAGTACTGTTTTACAAAAAACTTTTGAAACTAGAAATTACCAAGCTGCTCACAGAGAAAAGTACTCACCCTTCCCATCCACAGCACTGCTGACACTTTAGTTGTATTGCACCCAGTTTGGGTTGGATTGTCACTTGTGTCACACCTCTAACTTGCATTCCCTCCAGAAACGTTGCTCCCTTTTGAGAGAGTAACAATTATTGTACATAATCAACAAGGATTTGCACTTATAAAGCAACTTTCACATAGGAAAATATCTCAATGTACCTTACAAAGAGGGAGTGCAAGCCCAGGACGGAAGAGAGATAGGGAGATGGCTGAAGGCCCATTCAAACAGACCGATCTTTAGACAGCTTTTGAATGCAGACAGGGAGGGAAGCAAGGTGGAGGAAAGTCAGAAGAAAGTTCAAGAGAAAAGGTGAAAAGCAGCTAAACGTTGCTCCTGCATGGGTAGGTGGGGGGGGGGGGGGGGGGGGGGGAGAGTACATGAAGATGAAGCAGGCTGGAGTTGGCAGGGGAGAGGAAATGGCCAGATGAGTATGGTCTCAGAAGATCAGAAGGTCAAGGGGGAGGGGGACCCATACAGGTATTTAATGTTAAGTCATTCTGCTGGGGGATAGGGAGTCAGTGGAGGCAGGAAAGGATGGGGTGTTGGGCTCATAGAGACTGGGGCAGAAGATGCGGGCTGCAGAATTCCGGGTGATCCGGAGATTGTGGCGGGGGGGGTGGGGGGGGGGGGGGGGGGGAGTCCTTGAGCACTTTTTAAAACAATGGTGGGATCAATATCTGTTTGGAACAGAATTCTGTTAGAAGGATAACAAGAAACATCTGCATTATGTGGAACATTATGCTGCTGGCCATGAAAAATGTGACTCAGTGCATTTGGACCCCTTTATAGTTCAGTAACTGAGGTCCATAAAGTTAGAATTTGAGTTACAGTGAGGTCAATTCCAGTCAACATGTCTGGATTTCCAGGTCACCGCTATCATCACTGAGCCATGTTACATGTGGAACACCTGCCTCTTAGCAGTTATTGTTCTCACAAGCATTTCCTGTGGTTGGTTGAGACACTCCAACCTAACATCTGGAGCCCTCTTTACCTCCGCACCAAGCTAGGAATCTGGTCTGTGAGCATGGAAGTGTACTGAGGTTCAGTATACTGCAGTTCTGCAGTAAATCTATGTTATATCCGAATCTGAAGCTCAGTATAATTGCGTATGGAGCAGGAGGTGTGGGGGCTGTGGAGGGGGGTGCAGAGTTGACTGTATATAAAAGATTATCTGTTATTGTGGTTGACTAGATAGGCATTGTGAAGTTTTGCTCAATATATTTTTACAGCAAGAAGAACAGAATCTTTCTTCAGTGAAAATAACTTGTGAGTTCATGTTCTAGCAAATTTTTCAATGGCAGAAGTGGATTTTAAGGGCAAATAGCCTTTTTTCATTTTTTGCTTTAGGGTTAGATAATCCACCTGACCAAGGTTTAATCTAACTAGTCTCTCTGCAGGTCCAGAACAATGATGTTGAAAATGAAGATCTTCAACATGGCTGGCAGAAATATTTAAAACATACTTTCAAATGGACAAAATACAATACAAATTGACATTTATATAGCTCCTTTCAAGAGAAAGGGGGAAAAGCAGCTAAAAGTTGCTCCTGCATGGTGGGAGACAAGGCTTTGGGAAAAGATGACTGAAGGCACAGTCAAAAAGGTAGGTCTGGAGACGGACTTTGAAAGAGATGAGGGACTCTGGGATGGAGTCCCAGAGAATGGGTTGAAAAGAATAGGCTGATAAAAAAAATCAGAGTACCTTGTCATATGTTGGCAAACTCAAAAATTGCATAATCTATTCTTGCATTGCACAAAGTAGTTTGGCCACATCTCAAACGTCCCCCCTCCTTCAAAATCAAATACACTTTAAATCTTACCATTTTGAGACGTTCTTTTTTCCTCTTGCATGGGTGGGAACCTGATGAGCCAGGTTCTGAATCCCTACTGATCCTGCATCCATCATCATCATCATCATTATTATCATCATCTTCATAACACCAGTCAGGCCTCTCTGGTGGCTGAGGAGCCTCTTCTAATTCACCATAGCGGCAGAATAGCTCCTGCAAATATTCCCCTTTGTAAATGCCAGGTGGCCTTGCCTGAGCAAAACTGGCAACTGCTGCTTCAACACTAAGGAATACAACAGAAAAGATAGTTACATTCTGTTTAAGAATTAGTTCAATAAAGACAGTTCAATCAAGTTAGAAAAGAATAAAAACAATATTGAGCTTTTGTCATACAGCAATTTTTTTTACAAACAATTCTTAAAATATTCAGTCAGTGCAGTAGAATGATTAAATAGCACTGGTTGTCACAACATACATACAAAGATGTAGGTCTCAGAATTAGCCATGTGGGAACAATCACAGTTTGTGTGATTTTGTTTTCAACCCATTTTCAAAATTTTCATTTGTTTAGCTACATACGAGTAACAATTTTCCCTTGTATTTATGCAACCACCTTTGATTTAGGTGATATATACGTTTTTTTACTCTCCATAATCACTACAGAAATCAGTACATTCCACTTCTCATTGGAAAGATTTTTGGCCGATACCCCATTTACTCCCATTTTATTTTATTACATTGCTTCCATTGTAACTCCAGAACTTTAGAGATATAAAAGGAAGAGTATATTTTACTAAATTATCAATAATACGAAAGGTTTAGAAAAAGTGGTAGCTGTTCGCTGTTCAGTGCCTCTCAGTACTCTGTTACCATAATTTAGGTTTCAGAACTGCTAGAAGCAGTCAGGGATTTTGTTTCAGGTGTTTATACTACTAAAGTTTTTTTTGTAGAGACTTGCCAAGAAATAAGAGACTCTTCCTGTTCATATCACTGGAATAAAATATCACATGGAGGATATTCTGCAAAAATCTCAGTTCCAAGATTGCTTCTAACTAACAGTTCTAAATAATAAAATATGGCAACAAATAAGTGTACAGGTCATGGAAAATAAACCTGTATCTGGGTCATTCAAAAATAAATCAAGTAACATCAGGCACAGAACGCGTGAAGACCAACTTAAAGGTGATTTATTTTTCCACAAACTGAGGGAGGAAGTTCAAAAGGCTGCGTTAATTGAGTAAGCACGTGCATTGGTCATGCAAATGGAGTCAAACAAGGCCAGTTTCAGAAATAAACCACACACAAAAAAATTCAGTCCACGTGTGTGGTCTAAAACCCTGTAAATTAGGATTATGCAAGAAATTAGTAAATGCATGTGCCTTTTAAGCAGGGGAAAGTTTTCAGCACCAAGTGGATGCAAAGGAGAAGATGGAGAGATGAAAGAGATGAAAGAGTGCATTAATGAGAGCGATGTAGAAAACAGAGAGTAAGTTTGTCTAAGTATAATGAATGGGAGAATTGGGGAAGAGAGAGATGGAAAGAAGCATGTATGCGAATTAGCAAGAAGGAAGTTTGCGAGAAGAAATGACAAGAGGGCCACGAGTGTGAGGTGAGTGGGAAAAGCAAATATGGGAAGAAGGGGAACAGGTGTAAATGATTGAGAGAGGGGAAGAAAGATAGAGAGAGAAAGAGAAGGGGAAGATGAAGAAAAGAAGTGTGAGTGAGTATACTATTGGGCGGTAAGAGCTAAAAAGACAGAAGCGAGTGGGTGCCACACAAGGAAGATAGAGTGTGACTGAGTGTGAAAAAGCTAAGAGTGAGAATATAAGAGAAGAGATTAGAACGAGCAAGTAAGTGAGAGTATTTGCCTCACAGAGAATGGCAAATACTCTGAGAAACACTGATGACAGGGAAATAGACATTGTGACAAACACAAAGATAGAGTGAGATAGAAAAAACAAATCAACAGGGAGACGGGATAATAATAGTCCATTTGATACAGAGCCTAATCACGTCGTTGAGATGTCTGAAAAGTGCATTTTGTATCAAAGGGATAGGTATAGAGAGAGGGACAGAGACGAGAAGTGAGGGGGAGAAAGGCAAACATACCAAAACTCATTCACAAATAAAATAGTTACACTCATTTCCAACAGCTCCCTCTTACAAACCCTCCTCCCTACTGCCCATCTTGGGAAGGAATACTTTAATAGTTAGTGTAATATTTTTAATCTTAACATGATATTGCCTGCATGTATATCTCAATTGAAATCATTCTCCAAATTATACTTTAGATATACAATGAAAGTAAAATACCTCCAATCCATCTTCTCTACCAAATAAGCACAAATAAGGAACCCAGTTCGGTTGAAGCCATGCGTACAGTGTACACCTATAAAACATAGACTGAAAATTAAACTTTAGAATAGGACTGTGTTATTACATTCCTTATCAATAGAAGTTACAGCTTTAGAGCAATTCTGCACTATGCAAACATGGATGGCAAGAGCAGAATTAGAATATAAATTGTTAAGTGAAATTTCCTTTTCTAAAAACAAACATTTTCAGAAAGCTTTGAATGCACCTTCGTTCAAAAGAACCCAACACCAGCAGTCTGATTCATTAGGTATATTATAATGTTTAGCCAGTGAAATGCAAAGTGTGTGTGTGGGTAGGTGAGGGGAGAGAGGCATAAAAACAGTCACTCTTAGAACATGATACATCTTTGATATCTGACTTATACATTTTTTTAAAAATCATTAAACTGTAAAAAGATTCTAAAAAATTAATGAGTGCATAAATATTACAGAATGAAGATACTCATACAAATCTAACCAGTTTTAAAGAACATACAGTCATTGTGCTACAAAATTACATGCAGTGGTAAAGTCACGCATGACTGCAGTTTCAGTTCTCACTTTAGGGCTCAGTGCCATTTTAGAAATACTGTATAATGCCCTCTTAGCGAACAGCATTTGAGATCTGCCCAACTCTAAAAAGCACACTACTTGGTGGGCATGACTTCACAACAAGATACATCAGAGTGGCTGAGGAATAATTGAAACCCAAAATGGCAGATCTCTGTAACACAGAGACTTTTGAAATTGATAATCTATATACCAATATAAAATGTCAATGTCTGTCTGTGTGTGTGTGCTTCAAGAAGGATCCCAATAACCGATTGACGTAGAAACATGACTTATACCTCATCAGAAAGGTCTTGCACATGGAAATTACATGGGCATATTTGTTTTCGGGTATCTCCCATCATTCATGAGTTATGATTTAAAATGTATTTCAGTTTTGTGTTTTTTGCTGCAGTTACACCTGGTGGCCACCAAGTCAACGTAGCGCTGTGGCATCATGCAGTTACACCTGGTGGCCACGCCGGCTGACCATAGCGCTATGACATCGTGCATCACAGAGCACACACGTAGCCAAGCAGCGGCAGGAACAAAATAAAGAACACAGACGAAGCTAACCCGCGGCAACAACAAAGTTACATTTTTAAAGTGCCTTTCACATCGGGAGGACGTCCCAGTGAATATAAATTGTACATTTATATTTATCACTATAAAGATGCCTAAGCGGAAATCAAACCTTTCAAGGATAAGTAAGTGTATCTGTCTGTGTGTCAATCTACATTCCATATTGGTTCCTTTGGTTGGAAGCGTAGCTGCAACATGTACAGCTATAATTTATAAGAGCAAACACATACAATACACATGTCCACCAGCACAGAGACAATAGGACAAATAGCCTTCAGTGCTGAAAAATGCTACGATTCTATATGTTTATAGTTACTACATAATGTTCAGAACAAGTTGGGGCAGAGCTTCTTTGAATGGAAACACTTATCTTCTCACTTTTGATCAGCTGAAGGAACACCTTGAATCACAATTACTCATTCTAGAGATTCCCATTAAATGACTGGAATTCCTTCCCCCCACCCATTAGATAATATCTGAGGCCTGGTTTGCAAGATTTTTGTTTCCAGTCCTAGTTACAAAAGGCTTGTTACACACAAACATAATGTGTGAAATGAGTCAGTACATTGGTGCTGTCCCAGTTCCGCTCCCTCCCTGCAATATGTGGGTTTATGGCTCTCAGCTCGTTGACTATTATAAGTTGTTATACTGCATGTTATTTTGATAATTTAGATTTTGTTCAGTAGCTCCAATTACTGAGCTACAAACAATAGATTGCTCCACTTTAGAAGTAGTTTAACTCTAAACCCTAAATATAAATATTTTATAACCATAAAACGAATAAACCTTTTTGGCTTCCAGCATAAAACGGCTGTGAAACACTAGTTTCTAGTGCACAAGAATGCTCACAATTTCCCTTCTGGTACTGAAGCAATGCTGAGAATATGGCTGCTCAGTTTTCTTCCTGTTTCTTCTGTGATATGGAAAATTTGTTTCAAAAAGTCAGATGATAACTAAGATACTTCAAAGACATAGAACCGGTCAACGTGCCCTCCCTAAAAACGTAGGCTAGTAGGCTCAAGACACTTCCAACACAAATCCATACAGATTGCTATTTCGCACAATGCATTATAACCACTTTAGCTTATTTCAAAAAGTACCATTTTACATCAATTTTAAAGTATATTTTCTCACTAAATGTTAAAAATAGAACCTCCAAAAATATCAAACATTACTCTAAATATTCTACACTGATTAGATTCAAATCACTATTTTTTGGACATCTTATGAATATCCCAACCCGTCAGAATTCAACTCATGCCTCCTGTACATGGAAACTCCTATGTTTGGAAATCAAATGCATACTCTGCCCCTGGAGGGATGCATCCCATTTACCTAATTACTGAGAGTATTAGGTGCCTCCAAATCTTGAGGACTCTAGAGTAGAGGGTAATTCCTGAGATATTTATTGGAATGGAATGTAGACTCTCTCCCTAGAGCGAAGCAGCCTGCTTACCTAATTTCAGAGTGTATTAGGTGCAGGTTGCCAAGATTTCGGAACCCCAGAGTGTGCGATGGTGAACTGCTGGAGTCTAACCAAACTCTATAGCTTGCCATTGACAGCACTGTCTGGCTAGATTCCTGTGACTTGTCCAGCTAAGACCACTTCCCACAAAACAGAGAAAACAGCAAGAAGTCAAGCCCAGAAATGTACCATTTTAACAGAAGCTCAACAACTGGACTAGTATAATGAAACTGAACATATCCTCCAAATATTCTAAAGACAATGATGTATCATGAGGCGAGTGGCAACAAAGTAAAATAAATACTTACCTATTAATTCCAATGGGTGCTGTGATATGAAGTGTTCACATAGCCGAATGAACATGTTTGTGACTTCTTTACTGGGACATTCACCATGTCTAAACAAAATAAAATTAAAAATATAAATATAACCACATGTAAGCGCTACACTGCACTCAAAACATTGTTAACTATATAAATTCAAAATAGTTTTTTGGTCTTAAGCATTTTAGTAGAATTACATTATATTTTACTAGTTTAAAATGCTATTTTGTATATTTGTAAGAAATAGTGCATACAAATAATAATAATCCTTGCATTTGATATAGACATCTCAAAGCGCTTCACAGGATATACTATAAAATGTAGTGTGTATTTTGTGGGCGAAACGCAGCAGCCAATCAAGCACAGCGATGTCCCATAAACACCATGGAGTGGGTGATCAATATTATTGGGGAGGGGGGAATTGTTGTTCAGGACACCGGGAAAAATTCCCTTCTCTTTTTGCAATAGTGCCTTAGGATCTTTAACATCAACCTGAGCAGGCAGAAGGGACCTTGTTTTCACGTCTCATCCGAAGGACAGCACCACCGCCAATGCAACACTACCCCAGCGCTGCATTGGAATGTCATCTTAAACTATGTTATTCCAAGTCTCAACGTGGAGCTTGAACCCACAACCTTCTGATTCAAGAGGCTAGAATGCGCCAAGCTGACACACAAATATTCCTGCCATCTATAAAATATCATGAAGTAAAACAGCTTAGAAATTAGTCATTGTGACAGCCAACTCCTGAACTTGCCAAAGCTCTTGTCATGGTTTTGACTTGAAAGAAAAGTTCTAGTATGAATACTGACCAGCACAATTTCTAATAAAAATTGTATAAGTATACATAGTGAAACTCACATGAGTCGTATCAGTCGGGCTCATAACATTTAATATGACTTACGCGAAGTATGAGTAACAGGTAACTTAGATAGATAATTGAAGGAGGTCATCAATGAACCACATGTGGTAGATTCCCAGGAAAGGTGGGGAAAAACAGATTCAAAATCTTTACATAAATATTAGACCTACCACTTCAGTTGTCAACAGCAACATCTAGTGGTAGTGAACAGGTATCGAAGCTCATCGTACTTCACTAATATGTTGTTGATGGAAACTGCTGACAGCTCGATAGCATTTTAAATCCTACATTAACATTCTGATTGACAACAGATTCACAAAGCAGTGCTGTAAAATAAACCTAAATATCTTAGATGGTCTAAATCTCCAAATAAAGATTTGCTTCAAATTGGCGATGCCCTGTGAGCTTCTCCTGATGCTTGTCCAGCTGGGACCACCCTAAGCGTTAGGGCTTTGGCTTACAGGGTTAACAGTAGAAGGATTCCCTGCCCCAATGACTGATCTGCTCTTCCAAGACCAGTCGATGAATCAGGCGGTGCTGTCATCAACATTGCCTTGGAATACTGAGGACCCGCCTGGCTCAGAAACTGGACTACCAAGACCGCCACGGAGGGCTGGCTCAATTCCAACATTTCGTTGTCAAATATGTCACCTGGAGCAACTCACGTACTTGCCAAAGCAAAAATTGTGCCCAGTTTCCTCAGTTGCTCCCATTATACGGTCTTCCCCAGGAAGTTATTCATAATAGAGGAATGAGCCTTGCACTTTTCCTGCGAAATCCCACTGAAAACGCCTGGAGTGCCGCAGCGCGATTGAGAAATTGTCTGTGCCCAGCCTAAACTGAGCTCCTGCGACAAATTCTTGGCAACTGCTGTACTATTTAAACTAACATTTTTAGTAATTCAAACATAACTACATGTTCAGGAAATATACGCCTAGTTTTAATCCGGGTTGTTTCACATAATGCATCTCTGAACAGCACTAATCAACATTCCACAATTTTCTGCAAAATTTGTCAAATGCCCCGTAAGCTTTGGCAAATATTCCCGCACTTTTCTATTGGCCCAGGTAATAAGGAGTTCTGGTATCAGAGAAAGGCAAAGAATAGAGATCGATTCACTCCAGGACATTTTCCTAAATATCCTTGTGACTATTTTTTAAATGGCCTGACCTCTTGATTGGGGTAAATAATGGGGAAATAAGCGAATGATTCAGAAAATAAACATTTTAAATGTGAGGAAGAGGTAATGTCAAAATGCATATATAGCACCTGTGTGGAAGCCTTTTTTTGTGGACATCACAAGAAGAATTCAATAAAAATAGAAATTGGCAGCCCCCTGGTAGCTGATTGCTGTGGACCTGAAGTATTCAGGCTATCACCCTGCTCAGACATGAACCTGGGCAGAGGTAGATGCATGGGAATTGTACTGCAAAGGACAAAATTAATAAATCAGATGCAACACCTTTCGTGTCACGAGAATATCCCAAAGCACTTCATAGGATTTAATGTAAGGAACAGCTACTGTGTATTTTATAGGAACCTTGCATAGAATATCCATCCTGATAACTATCCAGGATTGTAAATACTGTCTAAGTATGTGCCCATGGGACTCTGATCAGTTGACATGTCGTCATGATTGAATTACTTACTAACACTCAATGCCCAGGCTCAAACATGATAAATAATACTAATATTTGCATTGATGCAGCACCTTTCATATTGGGAGGACATTTCACAGAGCTTCACAGGATTTAGTGTAGTGTAGGTGTACTCCAGGTGAACACAGCAGCCAATCTGCACAGCAATGTCCAACAAACAACCATGGAACTGAGTGACCGATTTTATCTGGGGAAACTCCCTTCTCTCTTCAAACAACATGGGATTTTTAAAATCCACCTGAACAGGCACAGACAGGATCAAGGTGTAACGGTTCATCTGAAATATAACACCTCCATCAATTCAGCATTCTCCCTAGCATTGCATTAGATTGTCAGCACGGACTGTGAGCTCAGAGAACTGTGTGGCTTGAACCTACAACCTCCTGACTCAGGAGACAAGAGTGCTACCAGTTGAGCCAGACTGATACCTACATGGTAAGGAACTGAGGTGTTTTCAGAATGGGAGAAAATTGGAGAAAAAGAAATAAATCAGTGTCCCTTTGTACTAATGAGGATTTAGATGTAAAAACATGACTTTTGATTAATAAAAGCTGGTGTTAACAATTCATATTTAATACTATGTCTTGATTTTCTGATTTATGCTACTTCTGACTTTTAATTTTGCATGTCATCAATTATACAACTATAAATGCATGGGAAATCAAACCCCAAAGTGCTGTGGTTTATTGTGCAATAACAATTAAACTGCCATTTGAAATACTTTTGATAAAGTTGCTTAAGCATTCAAAAACCTGTCCCATTTATTGAGCAAACCATCTAGAACTCTCATTAATTTGTATCGCAAAAGTTGAAAAGATATATAATTGTAAAAGCAGAACAGTCAGGATTTTATTTCTTTAATTAAGAATATGAAATGAAACAGAAAAATGCTACTTACCCTTTGCACTGTAGTTTTACATATTTAATTCCTTCTTTCTCTATTTCAGCTCGGTCATAAAACCGACTTGTGTTTGTCAAATCCACCAACAATCCCATATTCACCTATGAGAAACACACAATTCCAGAATTAAAAAAAATCATTAATCTACAATCATAAACTGAAACAAAAATACTAGAAAAGTAATATTCAGACTTCAGCTGAATATTACTTTTCTGAAAAAGATTCACAACCAATGGAGTCTCAGTCATCCATAATATCAAGTTCAAGCTCCAGCTCCATTTGAAATTCAGTTTCGTTTCCATTCCTAACAGATATTTCACCTTAACAAGCATAAAATGACACTCCAAACAAGCTGAAGACATTATTCTGGGTCAGACTGCAAGCGGACATGAAAACAATGACAACTAAGATCTGACCTAGTTTGAGGCACCTGGAACTACAGCTGGTCAACTGTTTAGCTCTACGTCTACCTTAGCTGCTCATCTGCCATCTTGCCACAGCTCCCAAGTAAAAACTAGTGGCAATACCAGTAGAATCTGTGAAATTCACTATTATGTCCTACAGACACTAGCATACAATTTCGATGCCAAAAATTAACCCTAACTGTAGGTAAACTCTAGCGACGTCATCTTTATGTTCTTTATGCTCCCATTACTTTGTTTCAGGTGACATGTATAGAACACAATGTTACTGACACTATAGATGCCTGAGAAGCTGAAAGGAACTATTTTCTGAACTAAACAATGCGCCTATATAAAGAGTGAGTCTGTCCATTTTTGTGAGTGAGTGAGCGAATTTGAGAGTGAGCGTGAGAGTGCTAGCCACTACAATAGGTTCACACCTCAGCCTCCAGACTCGAGCAGCGAGGGGACAGAGGGCGCCAGGACATCTTAACCCTCTTCCATTGCCTCGAACTCATGTTGAGGTCTGGAGGGTGGGCATCTCGGGCATGTATTAACAATCAAGCCCCGGGAGCAGGTAATAACAGTGCCTGTGGCCTCTCTCGCTCTCTCTCGCTAGTACTGTATGTTTACTACATTAAACTGTATGTTTATACGTACAGTACTAGCGTGCGGTTCCATGAATGTCAAGTGTTCTCACGGTACTTCACTTGGGCAACCACAACTTGCATTTATATAGCACCCCTCACACAGGATAACATCCAAGTGCTTCAAAGTAGCAGGGTTGGATGCCAAGCAAGGAGGAAGGGGGAGATGACTATAGAGGTAGAAGAGGTAGGTCTTGAGGGGGGAAATTAAAGATGGAGGTGACGAGGCAGAGGGAAAGAGACAGGACGTTTCAGAGGTTGGGGGTGTAATGATTCAAGACTTGACCACTGATGGTGACACGGAGGGGACGGGAAGCATGCAGCAGGGGAAGGGAGTTGCTAGGGCATGATTTATAGGTGAGGGTAAACATCTTGAAGTCATCTCTGTTCAGCAACAAGGAGCTAGCGGACTGTGGCGAGGACTCGTGATCGGTGTACGGAGTTTGGTGCAGGTGAGGATACAGGTGGCAAGAGTTTTGATTTAGCTGGATCTAATGGTTGGTGGAACTGGAGAGACCAGTTTGAAGTGCATTTGAGAAATCAAAGCAGGGAACTGTCTCACTGTCTCAATTAAAAGAAATTTGAACTGGCCTGCAGTTAAAAGCAGATGAGAGTGTCAGTGGCATTTGGAACAAAGTAGGAATAGATGTGGGTAATGCGGCAGAGGTGAAGGAAAGCTGTCTTGGTTCAGGGATTGAATACGAGGTAGAAGGGAAGTTTTGGATCAAACCAGACACTGTGGGGGTGGTGGTGTCATGCCCAGGGAACCTGCAAACTCGATTGAATACTTCTTTGAATGGAGACTGAATGTCTGTTAGAATGTATTGTTATTGTTTTGGTCATTTACACCCTATATATAGCAGGAACTATATCACTTGGAAAAAAGTGAACTGGCGTGCAGTTAAATTGTACTATTGTACAGTTAAAATGTCGTTGTTTGTAGGGGACCTGATTTGCATGAAAACTCATCATCTGTAAGAATGTTTATTGTGTGAGAGTACAAGGGAACAAGGGGATAAAAACACTAAGTGTTTGAGCATGCAGAAGAGTTGCACCTTGGAGATGCTTGTAACAAATGGGTCAGCTCGTTCCCCAGCATTTTATGTATTACAACTCTGACTTAATTTAAGGCTTTAGGTTTGGCCAAATTATATGCTCATGTTAAATATTTTAATATTTAATTAGATATTAAATATTTTAAATTTATTTAGAGAAGTGTTTTTTTAAATTTCTTGATATAAATGGGATACTGGTTTTGTCCTCCCCACTTGAAAAGCCCCGACTCTAATCACTGGGGCATTGGTATAAAATATCAAGCTCCATGACAACACTAAGGTTGCATACTGGTTTAGCGAGTTTGAGGGAATGGGGAAGTTAAGGAGGTTAGAAAGGTGAGAGGTGAGGAGGTGTTGTCAGGAGCCAAAGAGGATAACTTCAGTCTTGCAGAAAAATAGTGTTCATCCAGGTCTCAAGGTCAGATGGACGGACTGACGGACAGACAGGCCATTAGTGGACCTGGGATTACAACTCAAAATGGAAAAGTAGATTGGGCGGTGGTCCACAGACATTTAAAAGTTAATCCCATGTCTTTAGATGATGTGCACATTACTGAGGGTGCACATGGATAAGAAAAAGGAGGGGGCCAAGGATAGAGGCCTGAGGTGCACCGCATGATGAAAAACTGTCGGAGAAGTCAAAGTGGAAGCAGTGGGTCAACTGGGATTCGAACCAAGAGACTCAGTTGAGGGATATGGATGAGGGAGGAGAGGTGGTCAAGGTGGATAGAATGTCAAAAGCACTAGAGATTGAAGAAGGCAGAAGGAGCATGCCAATGGTGACTTTGACAAGGCTGTCTCAATGTTGTAGGCAGAAACTAGACCAAAGTGGCACAAGCAGTGAGTGGAGAGAAAGGTGGGAGAGAAGTTGAGTGGCAACAGTATAAGCAAGCTATTCAAACATGGAAAGCATGCTGAGCTAGGTTCTGTCCTCACCAAAGTGCCACACACATGTACTTCCAGGAGTATTTATTGGATAGAGAATAGGAACAGACAGTTTATCTGAATTTTCAACCAGCAATCTGTCTCCTTATCATTATCCAGCAATTCCTGAATTTTAGGTGAGAAGACTTAACCAAATTAACCAAATAATCTACTGATCTCGCAGTCTAAACTTGTGTATAAGAAATAGTCACTTGGAAGAAACGGGTAAATGTATTATGATGCAATTCTGCCCAGTAGAGGTCAATAACTTTAACAAAAGGGGGTGGACATTTGTTTATAAGTATCATGGAGAAGATTGTATATGTGTTACTTTTCTACAAAGTAATTATTAAAAAAAAACTTGTTTTACAGCAAATTTATAGAACTGTTTGAGTAACAATTGCACAGTAAAAATGTTAAATGATGCATCATTCTTTTCTTGTTGAATGTCAAGATTTATTTCCCTATTAAATAAAAAGTATGTACCTGTTGTTAACTAAGTTATCAGTACATGCATGGCAACAAATGTTATCAACCTGAATCAAACAGATTTACACACCACTCTGCAATGTTAAAGATAATCATTTTGTTACTTACCTTCAAACTTTTTAGATAATTTGAAAGCATGCTTGGATGAAAGCGATTCTCTTCTGGAACTTGATCATCATATCTGGCTCCTAACATGGTTTTCAGTGGCAAAAATTTTCCTATAAAATAATAAGAAAGCATAACTATATTAAAGCAAAAGCTCATAAATATACTTTATAAGGCATGCAATTAATCTAAATTTCAACACTGCATTTCACATTTCTCGCCAATATGACACTTTGTCATGTAAGGTGTACTGGATCTACACCAATGCTTTTCAATCTTGATATACCCAGTGTCTTTCTTAAAGTCCCTCTTCCTCCTCCATCTCTTGGTTGCTTTTGACATCTTTCTCAATCAGATTTCGCCGACAAAGTATACACTTTACAGTACATTCTCTATGAAGCGCTTTGAGACGTCTCGAACATGTGATAAGGCGCTATATCAAATGCAAGGGTTATTATTATTATTTATAGATTGCTGGTCAACAATACCCCAGATAAAATTAATCAATCACTCCATGACTACTTGTGGGGCATGATGTGCAAATTGGTTATCACCTTCACCTACAAATGCATTGTCAATAAACTTTACAGTAAATCCTTTAAAGCTCTCAAACAACTCAAGGACATAAGGCACAGTATCAAATGCAAAGTTTACTAATTATTATTTCTCCTATTTACTTTGTGCATCATTAATGTTCCTGCATTACATTCCACTTAGAATGTCAGCCCTCTGGAATCTACTTGCTCGTTTAAGTTTCTATACACTAAAATCCCTAGCTGACCAAACTAATTTGGTCAGCGCCTTTGGACGTCCTCCCGACGTGAAAGGTGCTCTATAAATGGAATCTTGTTGTTGTTGTTGTAATTGGGGTGGGGGGGGGGGGGGGGGCAGGAGAGGGAGATACAGTCAGAATTCACAGTGTAATTCCAATACCAGTACAAGCATTTATTAAAAATGCCAGTAAATGCCAATATTGGCATTGTCATGGTTTGAATCTGCTCGTGGATTTGAATTGTGTCAAAGTTGATAACGCTGACCTCTGAAGGCCAGCAAGGACAGTGGGGCTAAGAAAGTTGACCAGCAGGTGTTTACACACTCTCAAGTCTGCAGCAACTTTTTTTTTAATTTTACAATTTCAAGCCTTGTCCACCTAGATACGAATTCCGGATACCCAGAGTCGATCTGGTAAGCCAGGCATTACTGTATTGCTTTTAAAGCCTTTCTTTCATTGAGAGTTGCCAACATCCATGAACAAACAACTTAAATTTATACAGCACCCTTCACATACAGTAACATCTCAGAACACTTTACAGAGACAGTGTCAGACACCCAGCAGAGTCAGACACCCAGTGTCAGACACCCAGTAGGCTGGATGGAAGAAGCTTTTGAGGACGTTTGAAGATATAGAAGGGCGTGAGAGAGGGTAATGGTATAGCGGCTGAAGGCTTAACTGCCAATGGTTGGAAGGACATGTGGGGGACCTGCAGCAAGACCAAGTCTGGTGAGCAGTGGACAAGTAGAATAATTAGTCTAGAGAATATCAGAGATAGGAAGACGTGAGGGGCATGGAGGGATTTATATTGGGACGATATTCCCTCACTTCTCCTTGCTCAACATCCAACCCTGTTGTAAAGATTTCTAATATATTATGCTGCATTCTGAAGGGCGCTCTATAAATGCAACTTGTTGTTGACAGTGTTGAATGCTTCATAGGACAAGAGGGGTACATGAAGTCCTGAGTTGCAGAGTCAAAGTGCAGAATTTGTGATTTTGACAAGGACTGTCTCAGTACTGCGTGAGGAGGATGACGAGGGGGATTTGAGCATTCCAGAACTAGAGATTAGACCTTAAAACTGTGAGAAAGCACTTCTTCACAAATGGCGGTATACATCTGGAACTGGCTCCCATGTGATTTAGTCTGTACCAAAAGCATCCACTCATTCAAAAAAANTGTAGATGACACACATGTCTCAAGGAAGGACCGATCTACATCTGAATACTAACATTGCAACAAGATTCAGTGGTAGGTAAAGAAAGACTCATCCTCCTGGAACTCACTCAACAATCATCAATAGTCAATAATTGCCAGTTATTTTCCCCTGAATTGGCATTGTTGACCCGCTTTTTTTAAAAAAAAAGCTTCCCCTCGGAGTTGCAAACACCAGAAGAGAAATTAGATAGATATTAGTTAAGATGTGAAATGGGAAAATTCTTCTATATCTCTGGACTTTTTCTTCTCTTTCTTTTCTGTTTCTCTAAGGTGGTATACAAATGTGATTTGTTGTTGTTCCTCAGACATTGGAGAAAATACAACTACCAATAATAACAAGCCGACGAACAGAACACTTGAAAATCGTAAATGTTTTCTACAGCACGATTTGTACCACTGTACAAATCATTCTGTAGAATCATTAGAAATGGTCCTCAGTGCAAATGGGCTGGTTCAAATCTAACAAATAGCATGTTGCTAGGTTAGAATCATGTTTCTGGTGTGAAGAAATGTTTCCCTCCAACCAAAACTAGAGTTTACACCTTAAAATATCTCTGTTTCATGTACGATCCTTTCTATAAATACTTGTAATAATAACCCTTGCATTATCGCTCCATCTCCACCATGCACAAGATCCAGCTGATCCAAAACTCTGCCGCCTGCATATTCACTAAACTCCTTACCCCCATCACATCAGTTCCAGCCAGGCTCCACTAGCTCCTTATCGCAGAATGGATCGATTTCAAGATCCTCACATTCGTTTATAAATGTTTTCATGCCCTGGCACCTCCCTACCCCTCCAACATGCTTACCCCCCTTCTGCATGTCCTTTGTGCCCACTGTTCCACCATTGGTGGTCGCGCGTTTAGCCACTACGCCCCGAAACTCTGGAACATCCTTCCACTGCCCCTCCACCAAGACCCTTCCTTCCCCATCTTCAGGTCACGCCTGACAATCTTCCTCTTCGTGCCTACGGTCACCTCCCCTTCCCCCAGCTCGATGTCATGCTCCGCCATTGACAAGCGCCCTGGGACGCTACCCTGTATGAGGGCCGCTATATAAATGCACGTTGTTGTTATAGCCCGTCATGTCAGGACGACGTCACAAAGCACTTTAAAGCATTCACTGTAAAATATAGTGATTATTTTTGTAGGCAAACTTGGGCTTTAACTCACAACCTTCTGATTCAGAGGGCAGAGTGCTAACAACAAAACAAGTTAACACTCCAACGGAGCCAGACTGACACTTTTCAATTAGTGTTTAAAAATCACTCGATTTTCAACTGCATTTTGTCAATCATATAGCAACATATAAAAGTTTTTGGGACCAGGAGTACTTTCTAAAACAACAACAACAACAACATTACATTTGTATAGCGCCTTTCACGTTGGGGGGATGTCCCAACCAGTTTGTTGACATTAATAACAGTCCTTCCTTCACAAGTTCTCCTTCATCTAGTGCAAACCCACAGATTCCAGAATAACCTATCCTAAATATAATAATCCTTGCATTTGATATAGTGCCTTATTACGTCTTTGAGACATCTCAAAAGCGCTTCACAGAATATATTGCAAAATGAATTGTTTGTATATTTGTGGGCAAAACGTGGCAGTCAATTGCACACAGCAGTGTCCCACTAGCAGTCGTGGATTGAAGTGACCAATTTATTATTGTTTCTTTTTCTTGAGGGTTTATTATCAGGTGTGAGGAGTAAAGAAACTTGCCCAAAGTTTCGCCTTGCTGGGAATCAAACCCAGGTCTCTCACTTGCGAGAAGAGTGCTTTAACCACTGAGCTACAGGACTCCGCTGTTCCACATAATTATATAGGTAAATACAAGCAAAGGCATTTTGCAATATATTTTAACTTAGCAGTCAATGTGCAGCATTGAGTAAGCCATTACCATTCCCACTACATCTTAAGGGAATGTACCTAAATTCATATCATAAATACCTATTCCATTTACCACATCTTCATAAAGCAGTTATTTCCATGCCACCTAAAAGCAAACTTTTCATTTATCAATATCTGCCTTTTTAGTTACATGCAAGTTAACCTCAACCTGTTAAGTCCTGTAGCTCAGTGGTTAGAGCACTCGCTTTGCAAGTGAGAGACCTGAGTTCAATTCCCGGCAGGTCAGGGCGAAACCTTGGGCAAGTTTCCTTACTCCACACAGAGCCTAATAATAATCCCTCCAAAACAAAAACAATAATAAATTGGTCATTTTCAATCCACGACTGTTTGTGGGACATTGCTGTGCGCAATTGGCTGCCGCGTTCGCCCACAAATATACAGTCAATTCACTTTACAGTCTATTTTGTGAAGCGCTTTGAGACGTTGAGAAGACGTGAAAAGCTCTATATCAAATGCAAAGATTATTATATTAATATAACCACGTATGTACATTGCTATAGCACACGAATGTCAATTTCTTGGAACTTTTTTCATTGTTGTTTACGTAGAAAACAATCAAACGTATCCTCTTTTAAAAATAATAAGCAATAGTTTCGTCAGCAATCTCAATTCTACAACTGAAAATATCTTCGTCCTGGAAACACGGCTACTTACGATCAGCAATGAACACACATGTGTTATCAGCACTGGAAAGGCTGCTATCCGATGTGTGGTCACTGCTGAGCGCGATTAGGATTAATATTTTGTCCTACGCATTAAAGTTTTGTAGCACAACAGTGGAGTGAGTGAGAGTACATTCCGCGACAGTGGGGCTTTTGCTTTACTACGAATGGGAAGGTTTGCGTCTTAATTCAATTCCAAAGCAAAGTTATGTCCACCAACACTGACAGGTGTGGGGGGAGAGGTAAACAACACGCAATGTAGTGATCTTCCTGAGAAAAGAACAGCGACACACAGACACACACACACACCTCTGAACCTCGTACGTGCAGCAAAGCAGCAGACACTCTGGGACCAGGGACAGACCCAGAGGATCGGCAGACAACCCCTTCCCAAACTCGGGAATATAAAGGTCTCCCCCCCCCCCCCCCCCCCACCCCCCACCTCCCGCCATCTAACTTGTTTTAAACCTTTCCTGTGAACACTTGTGCTCGAACTCAGTGGGAAGTGGAAACATGAGCTGTGTCTGTGGCCGTGTCCTGGTCCCGGGTGTGCGGTGCTTTGCTGACGGCTAAAAGTTTGTGTGCGGCGCCGACGTTGGTTCGTGACATTTTATTGTGGTTTCTCGGTGGCTCAGGTCACGCAAATAAACGGAACAGCTTTTCACGGCCTCTCTCCGTGTCGCGGGAGCAGAGGGAGGGAGTGACTCACCCGCCACGGGCTGTCCTCTCCGCGGGCAGTGCAGCCACCGCGGCGGGATAGCGGTGATGGACATGGCGATGGCTCACAGGCCACGACAACAACAACAACAACAACAACAAAGCGGGCAGCCCCCGGGGGGTGGGGGGGGGGGTGTGTGGGGGGGGGAGCGGCCCCGGGCGGGGCGGCCACACTCAGCCTCTCCTCCTGTACCCCCAGGCCGGCGAGTGACCCAGGCCTCAGTCCCTACAGTGCAGCTCCTCCTCAGGCCTCCGCGACGACAATCACCAGCTGCTGTCCGGGCGGGTGTGCGGCGGGGAGGCCGGGCTGGGCCGGGCCGGGGCTGTGGGGGCGGCCGCGGGGCGATGGCGAGGGAGTCAGGGCACCAGGTGACGGCAAACAGTCACCTCCATGGATCTGCGCTCAGCCCCACAGTGCACCGCGCTGCCCTGCTCGGCGTGCGCGCGCGCCCCCGCCCCCACAACACAGCGTGCTCAGCGTGCGCGCGCGCGCCTCCGGCACGGCGTGCTCCGTGTGCGTGCGCGCCCCCGCCCCTCCGGCACGGCGTGCTCCGTGTGCGTGCGCGCCCCCGCCCCTCCGGCACGGCGTGCTCCGTGTGCGTGCGCGCCCCCGCCCCTCCGACGCGTGCTCAATGCTGCCTGTACGTAAATTTAATTCCTGAATATTAAGTGTGTTTCAGTATAAGGAGAATTCCTCATCATTCCTACGGGGCTGATGGACAGGGAGTGACTTATTTGTTACGATTAGAAACTTTTATCCCAGCGGACACTTTCATCCACATCAGTCCAGGCGGCATTCCGAAGGGTGTTTAACACAGTGAATCCAGCGACATGGTATTTGTACAGAATGTATTGGCCCAACTGGTCTGTACTGGTGTTTATATTCCAGGAACCTCCACTCACTCCCTCCCCTCATACTATTCTGTTCCCTTCTCTCACGTGTGTATATGTGGTGTTAGAGGTACTTTTTACCTAATCACCACATGTGTTATCTGATGGATTAGGTATCAATCCATATGGTATCGTTCCTGAAACATCATCCAGAATTTATATGTCACAACAGCTTCACTTATGTCATTATAGCTGCATTGAGGCATCAGAACCAGAAGAGTTTGTCCCATTAGTCTGGATTGAATTGAAACAACAGGAAAAAGCTTAACTTACATTTTGTGTTTAATATAAGTTAATACAGTACTGATCCAATGGTCAACACAATACATTACTTCAAGTGCATAATAACTATATTTATATTTCTTGAGCAGGTGGCGGACTGAGCTAAAATGCATTCCTGTTACCTCTGTGAACTGGATTTTTTAAAATTCAACCCAGACTAATACAATCTTCTCATTCTGCTGGCTATAATAATTTTGTGTCAAATTGGGGTCGCCTCACCTGTTTCCTCTCAATTGGATACAAATTGACACAAAACTAGCAATTTCATTCAAATAATGATCCTTGCAATTGATATAACACCTGTAGCATCAAACTGTTTCAAAGAGCTTCACACGTAGTTCTTGTCAAGTGTAGTGATTGTGCACTTGTGACAAAAAACGCAACAATTTGCACCCAGTATAGGCCCACAAACAGCCAAGAAGCAAATGAACAATTTATCCGGATGACTCTTGGGCAGACACTGGTAGGAATTCCCTTCTCTTTTCAAATAGTGTCTAGGAATTTTTAGCAACTTGCATTTACAGTACAGTATATAATGTTGTTCACACATGACACTGTTAGGCTTGCCGGAACCCCAGTTTACTCAATATGAGTTGATACAAAGATTCAAAGGTCTTTATTCACATACAAGCAGCAACAGTCTCTGGATTAAGATTGATATAATAATAATAATAATCCTTGCACTTGATATAGCGCTTTTCACGTCGGGAGGACGTCCCAAAGCGCTTCACAGAACACACTGTAAAGTGAATTGACTGTATATTTGTGGGCGAACGCGGCAGCCAATTGCGCACAGCAATGTCCCACAAACAGTCGTAGATTGAAAATGACCAATTTATTATTGTTTTGTTTTTTGGAGGGATTATTATTAGGCGTGTGGAGTAAGGAAACTTGCCCAAGGTTTCGCCCTCTGCCTGGAATTGAACTCAGGTCTCTCACTTGCCAAGCGAGTGCTCTAATCACTGAGCTACAGGACTCCATCACATCAGCGTACAGTTTTATCCAGCATAACAATCAAAATGCATATTACCTGTGATAACACCACACTACAACTGGAGAAAGCCCTCCCTACAGACCTCACTGCTCTTCTTAAAACTGAGACCAGAGATACAGTAGAATCAATATCAATTCCACTGGGAAGTGTGCTGACCCTCTAACACAACTCCAACTATTTCAAAGTTACATTTTTCTTTCATGTGTTTCTAACTCCACCTCCCCTTGTCACAGAGATAGCCCCCACCCTTCACAGGCTGCGTTGCAGAAAGAGAGATATGGGCAACCTCTGGGCAGTCTTCCACAGCCTGCTTGTTTTTCAGCCTTGAGGTAGACAGGTGTTGAGGCTGTAGCCTTTTAATCAGAGGCTGACCGCAACCAGTTCAGCGAAGCTACTTTTAACCCCTGCTAAACTAGTCATTACATTGAACAAATCGTATTAAAGGATTATGGGTAAGTTAGATTCTAAATGTATATAAAGGTTAATTAAAAGCTTTTAAAAAAATTAAACATCACAAATACAACCTTACAATACCATCCCAGAGGACTATTCAGTGATAGGGTTGGATGCTGAGCATGGGAGAAAGGGGTGATATATGTGTTTGAAGAGGTATGTTTTAAGATGGGATATAAAGTGGGGATTAGGCAAAAGGATTGAGGCAAGGAGTTCCAGAGATTAAAGGGGTAGTGGCTGAAGCACAACCACTGATGTTGGTGTGGAGGGGATCGGCCTGTGCCTGATAATATCCACCTTTAGTTTCACTGAAATAATATGCTGTGTGGATAAAGGAAATACTACTTGCGCAATAAAAATTTACTGCTAAGGATTCAGTTACAACTTTGTTGCTTATGATTTTTATTATAGCTAATGGAATTACATGTGTGGCTAATCATTACATATATGAAATAATTATAATCCTTGGATTCAATACATCATGTTGAAATGTATCAAAGCCTTTCACAGGATATATATCAAGTAGATTGAATGTGTATTTTGCGGGTAAATGCGGCAGCTAATTTGCGGTCAGCAATTTCCCACATGGAGTGGCTAGTTTTGTTATTAAAAACAAACAAAATTGTTCACTTATTGAGGACATTCTAGGGGCACACATTCATTATTGGATTTAGTCATTAGAAATGCTTAGCACCAATGCCAGTAAATTTACCAAACAGCAGAACAACAAGATTACATTTGCATAGCGTCTTTGACGTCGGGAGGACGTCACAAGGCGCTGAAAATGTCACCATACAAGTCCTTGAAATACAAAGGAGCTTCTGAGAGAAAAAGATAGCAGCTTGGGTGCATCTCTTCATCAAGCTGGATTGATTCAGGCTTCTTGAGTCACATTGCTTCAATTCCGATAAGGGTCAAGCCCAAAGCATAGACCTTGTGAAAATGACAATGTTCACTCATGAGCTCTAATGCAAGTCTTGAATATTTATTATACCATTTATTATATCATGGATATGTATCATAGCACAAGACTATCATTATCTTCCAAATTGTAGGAAAAATAAAGTTGATGAAATAAGGTCAATTTGGCTTACAAATAATATATTGTATGATTATGCTGTTTTCATTTTGTACCTATATATGTATTTTTCTTAAGGCAATACCTTAAATGAAGCATATGAAAAATCGATAATTTTTATATTCAGTATTTTGGGTACTGAGACTTTTAAAGCACTGTAGGACATAATGCAAGTTAAACAATACTAAAACGCTGTGTCAAACTTGGGCCTTTTTCCTTGAATGAAGATCAACTAAAAAATGCCAAAAAGAAACAGTATATTACACACTTTACAAATTGTTTTGAAAGACCACAAATGTTGCAATGGATTTTCTGTTCGTAAAAGACTGCTTTGATGTTCTGAGAAATGATTTAACTAATCCTATATATATATATATATATCGAATTAAGTCCCTATTGTGTTTAAAAGTATCTGAAAATTGAAACAACAGTAAATTTAGATTACAAAACAAAGGATGAGGGCTCTCCTGGCACTTACATTGGATGAATTGTGGGATACAACACAAACACATCGGGAAATCATTTCACTTTTGACAGATCCTCGTCATTATACTATTTCACTGAACACAAATCCAGAAACTCGAGAGCTAATCGTTCCCGGACAACTTTGAAGAGAGAAAAGGGTGAGGTGGGGGGGGGGGGGGGATTTTTTCTTCAAATGAGAACAGGTTTGCGTAAAGACATGGGACAATTTGATCCGGAAGTTTGTCTTTAATGGGGGGAGGAAATCGGGGAAAACCCGTCTCCTGCTTTCCTCGCCCTGAGTGAGTGTCGTAATCCGCAGCTGGAAGTCTGCCCGGGAACCACGCGCATCGCGACACGTCATCCCCCCCCCCACCACCGGTTGGCCGGGAAGTCCCGTCACGTGACGTGACCAGCTCGATAACAACGACTCCAACTGTGGCTGAGAACCGACAGACAACCATCAGCCCTGAGCTTCAGCCCATCCCTCGGCACCTCGGGGGCAGAGTGTAAACCCGTGGCCATGTTCTGGTGTTTGTGATCCCCTCCTCCTCCCCCCAACAACAACAACAACTGGCTTCTCTCTCTGACCTGCGCATGCTCTGACCGCGGGGTGACGTCACCGTTTCCAGGGTTCGGCTCGCGGACATCACGCGGTGCTTTGTGGTGGCCGCTGATTGGCCGGTGCTGGGAAGCGCCCGCCGGGGGGGGGGAGGGAGGCAGTTGAAGTGCGTCAGTGACAGTTGGTTTTCAGTGACCGCCCGGGGTATATGTATGTATGAAGCCGAGGCGGCGCAAGCGGTCAGTGCAACCACAGTCCCACTATCCGGCTGTTCATTTTTTTTTAGAAAGTTTCTTCTTCGTTTACCCGAGAAAGACAATAATCGTCAATAAGAGGGCCCGGCGGGGTTTGAGGGCCGGGGTGCGAGTGACAGAACAATCACAGGAAGTTAGGCTCAGGTCGGGCCGCCACCGCCGCCGTCTTCGGCGTTCAATACCCAGTGCGTGTGTGAGGGAGTAGAGCAGCGGAGTGACCGGGGTTTGTTTCATGGACTTGTTGGCAAAGTCTCTGCTGGTATAAACAAGCCAGAGAAACGGGAGGTGCTGTGAGGGGAGCAGCCCGTGTGCACTCGCTGATCACCTCTCTCTCGCTGCTGTGATCTCTCACCCCCTCCTCCCACCTTATCACCGGACTTTCTTTCTCCCCCCCCCCCCCCCGCCCCACTCCTACCCGTTTCCAGCGGTAACCCAAGAGCGGAAAGGCATCGAAATGCACCCGCTGCCTCCGCCCCGTCCTCCCCAGGTCCCGCTTGCCAGCGCGTGCGGCGGTAAGAGGACGGGCGACGGCACCGCTCACGCCAGGCCCGCGGTGAGCCGCGGCTGGAAGATCCGCTCGTCGCCCTGCGCCACGCTGCTCCAGCGGCACCAGCAGCAGCACCGACCGCAGCACCAGGCGAGGAAGCCGCAGCCGGCCCCGGACCCTCAGAGCGGAGCCGGCAGCCTGGAGACGGGAGAAGCTCCAACAACCGCAGCAGCGACCGCCATCTTCACACCCGGCGAGGAGAGCAAGGTAAGCGCCTGAGCCGCTCCCGCTCATCCCATGTCTTATTTTTTGAAGTGACGCCGGGATAAATGACTCGTTTCGATACCGACTCACTCCCTCTCCCTCTCCCTCCCTCCCCTCCTCCCACAAAAAAAGTTTCCATCTCTCACTTTTTTATTTTGAATTTTTATTCCATGTTTTTGATGTTTGTTATTCTCCTCCCGGGAGTTCGGATCTCAAACCCCCTTTTTTTCCCCAAACTGGAGGGCAGGTTTCCCCCCCTCCCCCGAAAAAAATTAAATGGGACGAAAATCTTCTCTCTTCCCCACCCTCCCAACTCTCCCTCTCCAAGCCCTTAGCCCTCAAATATAACGTCGGAGCTGACTTTTTCGCTTGAGTTTTCAAACCTATCCTCGAGTTGAGGCGAGTTTTTTTTTAAAAAATGTACAAAGACGCGTTTTATTTTTGTGTTTCCTGTTATTTTGGGAGAGGGCGGTTTAGTGCTATTCCTGTTCACGGATCAGATGAAGGTGTCGCATTCGAAAGCGGTTTGGGTTGACCTTTTAGCAGCTCCGCTCCAAACCGACTTGGACGGTTTTCGGGTGTGTTTTTCTGGGGCCGAGTGGTGGGGCAGAGACCCGATGTTGTGCGCCGCCCAGTGAGGGCTAACACAGTGGCCGATTCAGGCTTCGGGCTTTTGAAGCTAAGAACACGTCCCTCAAAGAGGAAATGCGAGTTTTCCAGGTTTACATTAATAGCTTCAAAATTAGGCTCCCGCACAAAAGCTGTTTATGTTCACGCACAACAACCCCACCTGGGAACCCGCCCCACCTGCCGCATTGGTGGAGAGGGGTCTGATGCCGCGGTGGGGGGGAGTTTCGCTGCTCTCCGTTGCCGGGTGGGGGTGGGCGGCACTTGGCACTGAGCCTTCAGTGTACGTGCACCGAGAGCAGTCGCTCATGTAGGACTCTGCGGGTCACAGGTGGGTGACGGCTGATCTGCCAGCGCTTGTCATCCGATCGACAACACGCCCTCGGAGGCAGGTTGTGGCCGGCAGTCAGTCATGTGAGAAGGATCGCCTGCCTTTGACGAGTGCTTTACTCGCCTTGTGTATTGCGCAACTTTATTTTGTCAGTTGGTCTGGGAGAATCGCATTTGTCATCCTCTTAAATTTCAATTACAGGAGTTTAATTTTTCAGTAAAGCTCTGGTTAAACTCGTCCTGGCAGCGCGTTGCTCCTGTTAATTCAGATTGTTTTGGTTTCTGTTGCAGGTGATCAAATCGAAATCGAAGATGGGAAAATCAGATAAAGTAATTGTTCCACATTCCCAAATTGTGTACAATGTAAATAAATCTGAAGAGCTCAGCCAATCTTTAAGTAGCACCAAACCAAGAAACAAGCGCAACGCACCATTACTCAGAGCCTCAAAGAGAAGTGAAAATAGCCCTGGCCAGAACACCGCTTGTCTTGAACGTCGCAACATACTCAGAAAAGAGGGGAAGAAAAACATTAATCCTAGAAACAATTGCAAAACAAGTGTGAAGTTACAGGAAGCCAATTTGAATTCTGTATTGAGCCCTGAAGGAGATCAGCATTATGCTGGGCCAAAGTTCAGCGAGCCACCTTCCCCTAGTGTCCTACCTAAACCACCCAGTCATTGGGTGGGGCCCCATACTCAATATCCTGACGAAAGTAAGGAAATAATGACTGTTCACTTGAAGACTTTACTAAGAGTTAATGCATAATTCAAGAACGATTCAGTTTAGTGAAAAACCTTATATGGCTCAGTTCAGTTGAGGCGGTAACTAAGAACGTTTCATTTGAGATTCAGCAGGTTGCAGCGGAAGGTCCTGAACTTTAGACTGTTGTAAGTTTCTCATTTCAGCTTTTTAAAAAAGCATTGTACAGATGGTGCTAGTAATGAAGTGGGATTGTGTATATAACTGCAAACCATGTAATTATTTGTATAGTTTTTCATGTTCAGAGAGGGGAATTATAGTTTGTCATATGAAAGAATTTATGCATTATGCTACACCAGTTGATGAGCACAGTTAATGTTTTTATTTTTGTTTATAAAATGGGAAAGACAAAAAAGGAAGAGATGAAGCGTCCATTTGCAGAGGCTACAATCCTTTGTAAAACCTTAGCAGTTTGCAATCTGAAGGGGAAAATCCCTGGTCTGAGAAACTAAGTACTGTCTTTATCTGTATTGTTGTAGATAAATATCAACAAGATGCAATTTGCACTCTTCAGTATTCAATATGTGAGTGATCACCAATAGTAATTCCCCTAACTGCTGTGTTGAAGGTAAAAACAAATTAATTTGACCTAAATTCCTAAATCAGAGTTAACTGAAGTTATAATGTAAATTGTTGGAAACTCCTGAAATTTTAAAAAGAAGCTAATCTGTATATGTACCTTCTAAATTTGAAACTTCTAATTGAATATTCTAAATTAATTAAATTAAACTGCTATCTGGGAAATGGCAAGTCATATCTTCTAAAAACCCAACTGACTTGTTTCAATTTGCTACAGTAGTACTTCAGTAAGCAAGAAGTAGATTCTGTAGGTATGTGTAAATTGTGGGAAGTACTTGTGCCAGCAGTCCTTTTGTGGTTGAATCTGTAGACTTAAGAGGAAAGGTACTCGCACAGGCTGCTAGTTAACAAGTAATTTAAACCCCAATTCCCATGACTGAAAGCTTCATAATGGACCAAAACATGCAAACAGAAATGGAGTGGAACCTCTTGTCACTCACTGTAAAGTTACCTATTCTCTCTGGTTTTAAAATACTGTATTGTTGACTAATTTCTGAGGAGGAATCACATTGCACAAACTTTAAATATAATCACAGAAAAAAATGTCAACTTGCACTTCTAAAGTTAAGGCAGCTAGCTAGTATGTTTAGTTTTGTAAGGTTACTTTATACCGACATTTGTTTAAATATAATTTTGTCTTCCTGAAAACTTAAATCTGGTCTAAATACCATAAAATGTAAATGGTTATCAATACAAGTTAATCTGGCTATATATTGGCTTTCAAGTGCCTATGCTGCAGTTGCTCTGCAGACTTATGTGGTGTACAGTGTAAATTTATATTGAAAGGTGATGTGACTAAGCATGCATTTGCAAGCTGTCCATTAGCTATGTATGGTGATTGTAAACCTATACATGCATTTCTTCTACACAGCCCTTCCTATTCCCTCAAAAGTAACTAAATGGCAAAGATGAAACAAATTGTTTACATTAAACATTTGATTGGCAAAGAGTATTTTGAAGGGTGAGAATCAATTGATTATACATATTGCTACATTTAGTCCTATGTTTGCTGTGTGGATAACACCTATGGCACTTAAATCCTTTGTCACTTGTTTATCTGTTGCAGACCGAATTGCAAATGCAGAGTCTTGCACTTAAAAGGCTCCTGTGACTTAAAGGCTCCTTATACAAGTTCAATATTACCCTGGAAACGTAATGTATAAACTTACAAGCTAAAAAAAAAGGAAGTAATTTTTTTAATCCCCATTTAAGTTAGCAGTTATTTACCAATGGCTATTTTTAAGATACCATTACCTACTTACTAATTGACCAGATTTCTGTATGTTAACATGTAAAACTGAAAAATCCCAGAAATGCCGACTTGCATTCCTAAAGTGAAGATGTTTTGTTGCAACATTTTATTTGTAAGGTTCCTTTGCTATACGATTCCTACCAATTGGCAGTTTTTCAAAAGCAAATAAAATATAATTGGCGTCCCTGAGACCTGTCTTGTTTATCTTCAGTAGACATTTATGTATGTGCAGTCTTTCATACCTGTCGTGTTAGAATTATTTTAAAATTCTCTTGGAGCAGTGTATAGAACGGCCAAATGCATATAAAGTGGTGTAATCCTGATTCACATCTGTGATGGCAGCAAATGGGCAGGTTAGGAAGAATGTTTTTGCGCGCAGAGTGTTCAGGGATATGGAGTGCCCTGGCAGCAGCAGTGGTTGAGGCAGATTTCATAATAGCTTTCAAAAGGGAACTAAATAGATAACTAAAAAGGAGTAAATTCCAGCAGTATGGAGTAAAGATAAGTAAATTAGACTGGAAGGATTGCTCTTTAAAAGAACCAACAGACCTCGGGGGCCAAATGGCCTTCTGTGGTTCTATGCCCACAATTGGCTGCGTGCTTAAATTGGGTGTATAATAATTTACTACTATATATAGATAACATTCCTGTCTCCTGTTTTTTGCAAATTAATGGTTTAAGTAATGTGAGAGGAATACCACTACAGAAGAGGTTGAATAGCATCATCTTTCCAAAAAATAATGATGGTGTTTCTGTTTTTCACATTTGAGATCCATTCTTTCTTTCATCTCCCCCACCCCCCCATTCCCAATTATCATTTAGTTAAAGAAGTGTACTAGTTTTATTGTGGATTTTCAATTTGGGGGAATAATTTTAAACAGCACTTTTGCTTACTGTACTGTTTGCAATTCAAGGACCTCTGCCAATTGCATACTGCAACCTAACCAAGATTGTTCACATTGTTTGTGACCAAGAGCAAGCTGAGTTTGAGTGTTCCTTCCCTTCGGAAAGAAGTGGGAGAATTAACACTTGCATTTATATAGCACCCTTCACACTGGGTAGCGTCCCAGAACACTTGACGTGGTGGAGTCTGACACAGAGCCAGGTAGAGCCGGAGTGGGGAGGAGACCGCAAGCACAATCAAAAAGGAAGGGCTTAAGGTGGGATTTGAAGGTGGAGAGGAAGATGTTGCCTGGAGCCAAAGAGTATGACTTACGACTTGCCGACATTCAGCAGCAGGATCCACCAATCACCAGCTCGGGTGCGGATCTCTGACCATCTGGAGCCTTGAGACGTTCTAACGTGAAAGGCGCTATACAAATGTAATTTTTGGTTGTTCCTTTCAATCTCCAGGAAAAAGTGGATGAGGGTGTCTACTCATCCTTCCAGGAGATTGGCAGGAACATTAACAAAAACATGAGAAAAAGTCATTTCTCTCAAGCTGAAAAAGAAATTGCTTAACAAACAGATTCTGGTATAACTTCTACATATTTAATCCAATACTCAATTTAGGCGAGTAAGATGAGACTGCCTGGGAAACAATTTGGAGCACTTGCTTTCTTGGTTAGCTGTAATATAGCAGCAGATGATACAAACAGAACTTTTTTTAAAAAACAATGAACCTATGCAGTCCATTGAACATTTCTAAAGATTTTAATATTTTTAAAAAAAATTTACTTTGAGACATTCATATGTAAACCATTTGGCATTAATGTAGGTGCAAATATGCGCATGGATATCAGCTTCTCTTAATTATGATCTGGTATGCTCTTAGAGAATAACAGGCTGCTGTTCTTTTGCTGTCTTGTTCATATTGATTAACTTATTTATTTCATACAGTACTACAGTTGATATAGCATCATATGCACTATTAAACAAAATTGCCAATTGTATTATAGAATGTTGATATATTTACAGATAATTTTGCACAATAATTTAGCACATCTTGACCCAAAATTCTTGGGAAGTAAGACTTAGCGAGCGATATGGAGAAAGGTGGAAAATGGGATTAAAGAGGAGCTCTGATTTAACGTATTGGTACAGGTTTGATGAGCTGAATGGCTTACTTCTGCTACTATCAAGTAAATGGATCAAGTAAAAATACTTTATTGTGTATAGCAGTCAACTGTAAATATGTAGTTGAGTACAATAATGGGATACTGAATTGCACTCAGTATTTCAATGGTGTTGAAAGTTTTTTTTTCTCTTTTTCTGGCCGTCAACAACAACAACAAGATTGCATTTATAGAGCGCCTTTCACGTCGGGACCTTGAAACTGGAGTTAACATGAACCAGCTCTAGTGAATTCTTAAATTCACTGCCTTGAACTTTTTATATTAAAAAAATTCTTGAATTTGATATAACATCCTTTCACTTTGTCAAGACTTCTTAAAAGCACTTCACAGGAATTACTGTAAAGTGTAGTGACTATTTGTAGGTGACCTTTGTACTCAGCAATTTCTCACAGACATGAAATGGATGACCATATTTAATGTGGCGGATTGTTGGCCAGGACACCAGGAGAAGCTCCCTTCTCTTTTTGACACCGGCTACAGGGTACTCGCCTGGGAAATAGTCTTCAATACTAAAAATTTACATTAAGTGATTGAGATCGAAGTCCAGGAACAATTATAGTTGTCCGGGGCTGCACCTACTGAGTCACAAGTGGATGAACTGTCAAGTTATTTTCCCATTCCAATTGTTCACAATAAAAGCGTTTTGCACAAACATTACAGGTTATAAAATGGGTCCATTTTGTTCGATTTTAAACCACAACATTTATCTGATTTGGGATATTGCGGTGTGCAAAGATTGGTTGCTGCATTCATCACAAAATAGTCACTAGGTTACAGTAAAAATCCATTGGAGGGCTTGGAGATGGACTACCCTCCTTTGGGATGTCCTGCTGATGCTGAAAGGTAATGTACCAAATGCAAGGATTATTATTCTTAATTGACTCGCTGGAGCTTTCACAAAAGAAGTGTATGTGTGGGCAAGGGGACTCAGATTGACATGAGAGGATGGCCATTGGAGCTTGGGGATATGGGTTATTTCACAGGATTCGGGGAGTTGTGGTCCGACTGTAACCTGATGTGGGGGGCAAGCCCCAGACTGGGTGAAGAGGATGGCAGGTGTGCAGCGCTCAACACACCCCTCCCCTCTAACTATACAAGGGACTGCGGCGCAGCTTCATGTTGCCAGATTGGTCCTGTTTTGTGTTGTACAGTGCGCAGAAAAAAACTTTTTCTGAAGATCTTGCACACTTTCAAAAGCAGTAAAGCTAAGTCAGACCACTCTGCTGCCCATTAGGAAACAACTCAAAATAATATTAGGCTTCTTTTGGGCTAGTATTTGGTGGACGTTGGGCTATGAACATCTTGTAATTTCTGAGGAAAGCTCATTGATTTGAAAGCCACCGCAGGGTTAGTGTGACGGCACAGATGTTTCGCGGGTATGCCCAACGGATGGTTGGAGGCCAAACAGCTTACGGGGCACAAACGGCAGTTCTCGAGCTTCCTGGACTGCTGCTGCCGCTCAGCTGGGGGCTCTGAGCGACAAGATCTGGAGGCCACCGGAGCTGACGTACCAGGAGAAGCGGGTTCAGGCTCAGGGCAACTGCTGGCGGGTGAAGAGTCACTACCAGTTGAAGATGGCTTTCAGGGCAGATTGAGGTCCAACAGGAGGCCTCACAGTCAGGTTCCTGAGCGAGGATGATGCCCTGCCCGAGATAAAACAAACCTGTGGCCACAAGCTGACCGCTGAGGTTGGGGTGGCGGCCAGCCTGGCTCTCAAGCTGGTTCTGGAGACGTTGCCTGATGGAAAAGTTCAGGCAAATAGTGTAATGTGAAATATAATCCTTATCATGTTGTGGAGGGTAGACAAAGACGGCAGCCAGTTACGTGTAGCATTGCCCCACAAACAACCATGGAGTAAGTGGCCAGTTTTATTTGGGGGATTATTGGCCAGGAGAAGACAAGTTGATCAATTCTGGTGCTATGAAAGAGATAAGAAGACCAGACTTTGTCCATCACAGTTGTTCATAAATAAATCTTATGTTGTCCTACTTTGTTCTAAACCTCTGATCTGGCTTTGTTGAGAATTATCCTTACATTAAAATCACATACATACCTTGTAAAGACATCTGGATTTTGCTTTACTAAACACATTTTTTGATCAAACAATCTTATCTTATCATTGAACCCACAACCTTCTGTCTCAGAAGTGAAAGTGCTGTCAAATGAGCCAGGTTGACAATTAGAAGAATGCATTAGATGTTGGGTGACGTGGGTCAAGATTTAGGACCCCAGGGGTGTGTTCGATTACTGCAAGAGGGTAACTCAAAAAATGCATAGCTTTCCACTGTGACACACCACCTGACTGCTGCTATTTCACACAGCTGCTATTTCTATCCTATTTTACTCAGTAGCAGGTGAAGCTGATTTAGAAGTCCTGTAGCTCAGTGGTTAGAGCACTCGCCTCGCAAGCGAGAGACCTGAGTTCAATTCCAGACAGGGCAAAACTTTGGGCAAGTTTCCTTACTCCACACTCCTAATAATAATCCCTCCAAAAAACAAAACAATAATAAATCGGTCCTTTTCAATCTACGACTGTTTGTGGGATACTGCTGTGCGCAATTGGCTGCCGCGTTTGCCCACAAATATACAGTCAGATCACTTTACAGTATATTATGTGAAGCGCTTTGAGACGTCTAGAAGATATGAAAAGCACTATATCAAATGCAAGGATTATTATTATTTCCCGATTGCGCCACTTTAGCAATCGTAACACTCCCCTCGCCGCACATGTGGGTCTGGAGCCACTCCGCCCAACAGTAGCAGGCTCGGGCAAACAGCACAAGAAGCCTATGGCCTAGCACACTGTGCGTACAGGTTTGTAGCGGAGTGGGTGTTTGTAGCTGATTCCACGGAACAAGTACGACCGCACTTTTCTATTGGCCCCGGTTATTGCTAACTTGAAATAGTTAATCAGATTTAAAATAAAACAAGCATCATCACTCCAGCCTTCTCCAACCACCATTTCTGAAAAGTGCTTTATATAAACCTAATGAAAGATGACTTTGTTTCTTGTACCCTTTCGTTTTTCTTCAGGTTCCACAGATTTGGGGAATGTGTCTTTTGTTCCTGGATTTCACCCCTTTACATAGGACCTTCAGTATTGAATCATACCGAGGAATACACCACAGCAGCCTGTAAGTGTATTCAGTTACCATTCTGCAGAGTTGCTTTTAATGCATGTCCAATGCAGGGCATGATCTAAAGAGTAAATAATATTAATCGTTTTTCCTAACACATTTATTCTATGTGATTTTTTTTCTTTTTTAAATGTATTAGGTTTAACAATTGGCGAGCAGGCCTTCAGCCACTCTGTCCCCACTCTCTGGAACTCCATCCTGCAGTCCATCCTCCTTGCCCCTTCCCTTGCCTTCTTCAAGACGTTTTCAAGACCCTTCTCTTTGACTGTGCCTTCGATCACCCATTCAATTGTGTGTGAATCACATGAAGTTAATATGAGAACATTTTTGTACTATGTTGGAACAAATGTGCTACTCATAGGAACAAACTCCTATACTTATGACGTAGGGTGACAGCTGTTGGGTAAGATTATGCTTTGTCCAATTACATGACTAGTTATTTCTCTCCCAAGAATTTAATTTAGATAACAGAGCAAGTTCTTTGAATTGGGTTCACAGAATCCTACAGCACAGATAGCTAATCAGCTCAACATGTCTGTGCTGATGCAAGCTCCCTCATTAGAGAAATGTTTATTTTCCATGATTAAACCTATCCAACGTATGTAGGTTTTGTACTTATATATAGACATGAATTAACTAACTACCATGGTTGCAATCTTAAACATTTCTTAGCAAGCATTGTTTTTGACTAAAATAGCAGAGAAATGAACAGTTTCAGCTCTTAAAGCAAGCCAATCAGCTAACTTCAGTGGTATCATGTGGTTGCAGGGTCCAAAGAAGCCCAGTTTTATGCTCTGCGAACAGCAAAGGTTGTGGTAATGACTGCACTGGAGTTGTCTTAAATCCAGACCTGTTGCAGCAGATGAAGGAAGACTTTAAAAAGATTAAATTATAAAATGGAATGAAGATCACCTGTGGAACTGCAGAGCTTTCTCTCACTGGATCAGGAAGGGGAGTTGGATGTGCTTTTTGAAATAAAACCTATCACATGACTCTTTAATTTTTCATGCTTTCTGTATTGAATTAATGAATGTATTTTATGATGTACTTGTAAAAGCAATCACAAAAAAGTTCAGTATCATGTGAATTATATAAAGTGATGTATTATTGGTGGATTAACAGATTACCAACACCTAAAGTCTTTTTGTAGGTGAAATACAGTAAAACTCACATAACTCTTATTATACAATACAAAATTACATTTGTATAGCGCCTTTCACTTCGGGAGGATGTCCCAAGGTGCTGGATGGTAATGGATTTGGAACCGAGCTGGAGTTCGGGATCAGAGAGGGTGGGGGCCCGGAAGAGTAGTAGGGTGGCCCAAGGCGTGGTCGAAGAGGAGGGTTTTGAGACGTGCCTTGAAGGAGGCAAGGAAGCAAATGAGGTGAAGGGAATGTGGGATGGAGTTCCAAAGAGTGGGGGCAGAGAGGCTGAAGGCCTGACCGCCGATGGTGGGGCAGACCGGGTAGGGGACTTGGAGCAGGCCACAGCCTGCTGAGCGGAGGAAGCGGACAGGTTGATATGGGGTCAGCAGGTCACAGAGGTAGGGAGGAACAAGGCTGTCATCAATAACAACTTGCATTTATATAGTGCCCCTCACCAGGGTACATTCTAGAGCATTTGTAAATTGTTGTACATGCCTAAATTGCACATGCATCCAAGTCCCATTCAGTTTCCTACCAAAACCACTTAGATATATTTGCAATGGTCATATTCATAACACCGATCCTGCACTTGCCGGCTGCATTCAATCACGGGAAATGAAGCCCAAACCTATTGATCCATGGTCCTGTATTGAAGTATGCATGTGCAGTATAGATTATTAATTCATCATTGCCAACTGTCCACTCCACATTAGCCTTTAAAACGTCCGCTCCATCTGCAATAAGACCTGACTGTCAATGATCTCATCCTCGATGAGAAGGTTGAAATTATGGTCCTCACAGAAACCTGGATCACCCCAGGTGACACCTTCCCCCTCGCTGATGCCACACTACCCGGCTATACCTACCACCATGCCTCATGCCCCAACCGTCATGGCGGTGGTGTGGCCTTCATCTCCAGGGCATCATTTGCCCTATACCCCTGGCTCCGCTGGCTCATTCCCCTTTTGAACACCTTACCCTCTGCCAGTCCTCTCATCTCTCACTAAAAATTCTCCTAATTTACCGCCACCCCCCCCAAAATCCTCCCCCCACCTTCATCTCTGGCATCCCCACCCTTCTAGCTTCCCTCTGCCTCTGCTCCGACCGCCTCATCATCCTAGGCAACTCCAACCTCCACTTCACCCCCTCTTGCTCCACCTCCTCACACTTTTCTCTCCTCTCCTCTCTCAACCTCTCCCTCCACATCCATTCTGCTACCCACGTTCACGACCACCCGTTCAATCTGGCCTCAGCATCTCGGATGTCTCTGACAACCATTTCATCTCCCTCAACTCCTATATCCCTCTCCTCACTGGCTCCAACCCTCGCCCGACTCCACTGGCTCCCCATCCCTTAGAGGATTGAATTCAAGATCCTTGTCCTCACTTTCAAGGCCATCCACGGCCCTCCAACCTCTCTAACCTGCTGACTCGCTACCAACCTGCCCGCTCCCTCCATTCAGCGGACTCCAGCCTGCTCCATGTCTCCCACCCGAACCGCCCTACCATTGATGGCCAGGCTTTCAGCCTCTCTGCCCCCATACTCTGGAACTCCATCCCACAGTCCCTTCACCTCGCTTCCTCCCTTGCCTCCTTCAAGGCCGGTCTCAAGACCCTTCTCTTCGATCGTACCTTCAGTCGCCCTCCCACCTCTCTGCCTTCCCTCATCCCTACACCATCCCTCCCCCATACTTGGGTCCTGACCTCTGACTGTCCAGCTCCTTGGGACGTCCTCCCGACGTGAAAGGCACTCTATAAATGTAATTTTATTGTTGTTGCGAGTTTACAACTGAGGTTTTGTTTACATGTTTAACGGACATTAAAGATCACAACACTATTTGAAAATAGAAGGGAGTTTTTCCCCCAATGTTCTGGTGAACAATTCTCCAGATAAATTAGTTATGTACAAATTGGGTGCCTTGTTCACACCTACAAGTAATCACTACACTACACTTATTTTTAAATCTCTCATGCTTTAAAGATGCCGGTGAAGTTACCTTGGACCAGCAGTAATGAGAGAAGTGGGATCGGAAAAGAAAACTTTTTAAAAAATGCTCCAGAGCACTTAAAAAATACTTGAAACATCCTCCTGGCGTGTAAGGCGCCGTACAAATGAAATTTTGAATTGTATTTGATTGTTTTATTTTACTAATTTCTTATGTGCAACTTGCTTTTTAACAGTGAAAATAAAACATTACCATGCTGTGAAACTACAATTTACTTGTGCAATTTTATATACAGTAATACTGTAACGATTGTATCTATCCAATTACAACTTGACTTAATGAAGTTTAGAAACTGAAGTTTTTAATCATACTGTATTAGATACATCTTCAGATTTGACAACTGGTGTTGTCGATGATCAAACTAAAACAGGTCTTCAACTTGTTTCAGTTTGATGTGAGCAAAAAAATATTTTGGAGGCTGGCATAGAGAATATGTATTGCCAGCTGATAAATTTATAAATGCATTTTATATTGTCTTATATTTGGAAGAAAATCCACATCCACAAATACACAGTAAATTCACTTAATAATATATATGCTTTGAAACATTTCAACAACATGATCAGGCACTATATCAACTGCGAGGATTATTATATGTAAGCCTCACAGATCTGTAATAATAATAATAGTCCTTGCATTTGATATAGCGCCTTATCACGTCTTCGAGACATGTCAAAGTGCTACACATGATATACTGTGGAGTCCTGTAGCTCAGTGGTTAGAAAACTCGCCTCACAACTGAAAGACCTGGGTTTGATTCCCGGCAGGACGAAATGTTGGGCAAGTTTCCTTACTCTGCACGCCTCTGTTCACCTAGTAGTAAGCAAGACCCTGGTTGTTAGTGGATTGGTGGATTGCTTTTCTGGGGGTTAAAATTACTTCAAAAAAAAGTAATAATAAATTGGTCACTTTATAGTATATTCTCAAATATGTGAAAAGGCGCTATATCAAATGCAAGGATTATTAAACTGTAAAGTGAATTGACTGTATATTTTGTGGGCGAAACTCAACAGCCAATTGCGCACAGCAGTGTCCCATAAACAGTGTTGGATTGAGTGACCAACTTATTATTTTTTTTGAAGGAATTATTACCCCTGGAAACGCGATCCGCCAGTTCACTAACAACCAGGTTCGTACTTACTGCTAGGTAAACAGGCACGTGAAGTAAGGAAACTTGCCCAACATTTTGCCCTGTCAGGAATCAAACCCAGGTCTCTCGCTCGTGAGGTAAGTGCTCTAACCACTGAGCTACAGTGATTAGAGCAATAAACAATTGAGCAATGCAATAGGGACTGACTGGCTTCCCTTGAAAGTGTACCCTTAATAGAAGGGAAAGAAGTGGCTTCATGAGAGAGGAGAACATTTCTGAGTAAAAAATACATCAAAGTTCATTTGCAGAAAATGCTTGGGTCAAAGGCTTTAATAGATCAACAGTTGAATGTATATGTACACATACAGTAGACACTTTACGAAAGTCATGCTTACAAACTCTGCTGTTAATATGACTTTCTCTGTAAACAGATTAGAGGAAATTTCATTGGGCAAGAATGTTTGTTATATGAAGCATTAAGACTCAAGCTATTAAAAATGAGAGGTGGTAACTGTTGGTTATATTTGGGTATGATATAAAAATGTGTATGGAATTGAAAGAAACAGGATTAACATTAGGCATGTCCTTGAAAGCTATTGTTTTAATTAAAACCACCAGTCTTTTTTTACATATCAATTTCATTCTATGTTGTGCACAAATGGAACGCTCCTTGAACACTTTGCAGCTTCATTGATCATTGTTTGAAAATCTCCAAAGCCTTTCACAGAATCTGCATCATTCACTTCTAAGCATGTTACCCGAGGGAAAAGCATTGAGAAGATGAAAGTTCAGTGTCTTCAAAGCTGTAAAGGTTGTGTGACAGAGTTCAATCCAGAAGAAGTTAATGAATATAGAATATCATCTCAAATTTAGGTAAATATTTTGACATGAAAGAAAAAAAACTTAAATTATTGAATTATCAAACGCTTATCAATCTGTAGCAATGACATGCAATGAGTGGATATGAAACCTTTTAGAAACATAAGAGACATATATATTGCAATACAATTATAACAATGGTTCAGAAAGCCTTAGCCAAATGCTTTATTCAGTTTTCCTATTCTACTACACCGTACTTCCTAATACCACTGGTACAAATGTGACTTATAAACTAGAGTAATTGAGTTTATTCTTGCAATAAATTAGGCTTTTATTGTGTATTAAAGCCTACTCTTTAAGCTAGTGGTATTTCCAAAGTGCAATAATATATCTCTAAATATGATGTTTCCTGAATCCAATTATATCATGTCTTTTGAAATGTCAAACAAAACTATTTTGCAAGATTCTTGCAAAAGAAAGTGCACTTGAATGTTCTCATAATTATGTATCTCTAAATTGGGTCTGTTCTTCATAATCGTGTATGTTGTCATCTGTACAGTATGCTCAACTTGATAGAATGAATCTTATGACAACAACTATAATAAGTAAAATAATAAGTGGCATGTTCTGATTTAAAACAGATAGTTAATGTTTTTTCTCCATTGCACCCCTTCTAATTTGAAATTATAACATACGTTATTCTTTAACGTATATACTTTTTATATACGCTGAATAATATATATTGAACTTGTTTTGAAAAGATAATCGGCATTCTGGCATAACCTAAACGAGTGAGAAAACTGACAATTACAGAAAAATCCTATAAGAAGAATAAGACAGCCAATTTCCAAAGATATTACGGTGATTTAAAATAGATATTCACCATATAACCAACAGAATATTTTATTCAACATATCAAAAACAAAAATTCACTTTGTATTGCCAGTTTCTCACACAAAAAACACCGAGTTTCTGCTGTACTGTTAGGAAGAAGTGTTAATGAAGACTGGAGAAGCAATATTCCAGCATGTTTGGCTCTGGCTTCATCTCTTATCCCAGTTTACTATCCCAGTGTGTAATCTTGGCATTTTGTTCAACACTCAACACTCTTTGAAATCCTAAATCCAGCCCTTCAACAAGTCTCCTTTTCTCTGCCTCCGGAACATCTCACTTTAAGTGTAGCTAAAACCCTCATTCACTCCTTTGTCGCCTTCGGAATCAACTTTTTTAACACTCGTCTTACCAGTCTTTCTAGCTCGACCTTCTACAAGATCCAACTTATCCAGACCATTTGTAAACAATGTCCTCGCCACTATGTGCTTACTACACTCATCCTTGCCAGGCCCCACTGGCTCCTTGTACCCCAGCAGAAAAACTTCAAGATCCTTGTTCTGACTTTCAGATCCCTCCCTACCCTTGCCCCATTTTACCTTTGCAACCTATTCCAGATGCACTCTCCCTTTCACGCACTTCATTCTGCAAACAGGCTTGCTTCATGTCTCACAAAACCCCTTCCCACCATGGTGGCAACGGTTTCTGCCTCTCTGCCGCTGCTCTCTGGAATTCACAAAATCTACTGCCTTGCACTCTCAATTTCTTCTTTCAAAACTCCTTCCAGAAATCTTTAGTCCATAGACCATACTTTCTATCCTCCGCCTCACCATTTTAGGCTTCTAGTCTGTCTGAATCACTCCAAGACATTATTCTACGTGAATGGCTCTATACAAGTGACATTTCCATTGTCACCTTGTTGATGTAAAGGCTAATATATTTTAACAATTTAAGGGTCGTAACCGCATGAATTTGCCCTATTGTGGCAACACTGGAAATTCCTATAAACAATTTCTTATTTACTGCCAACTGTCAGTTCAGAGACTAAATCAACGCACAACTGCAATCATCACACAGGCAGTGAGAGAAACAAATTAACTAAATAAGAAGAATTATGGAGAAAAAAAAGAATGCGAATGGGAAACAGGAATAAATAGTAGTGAGACAGAAGGAAACAGAAACAGCAACCTGTGAAGCAATGGGGTGGAGAACAAAATATAATCTGAGCTATTTTGTTTTCTCGTAGAGATTCTCAGTCTTTGGAATCTAATGCTAATCCCAGAGAATAATTGGAATGCATGATTCCAATAGCTCAGACTTTACTAAAAACAAATATCCTCTTATTTGAAAATTCTTTACTTTAATAGTTAACGCAATATTTCTAACCTGCTGGCATATTAACTGAATGGTGTCGATTTATTGTGTATTTTGGATCAGTCTTTAAGTATGACCTCATTCAACCAATGCATTAATTAATTGGCTACAATTAATCTTTATTGTAGAAACTTTACTTCACCCAAACATTTCTGCTAGAATATGTGTTGGCTATATATTGTTCCACGGTTAAATAATAATCTTCTAATCTCCTGCTCAGTTAGTTAAAAATAATTAACTCATGGAATGGACTGGCACTTTGTATGAATAAATTAAACCTTCTTAAACATGTTATAGAAAAAGAGAATAGAATAATAGAATAAAAAGATCAAAAATGCTAACTTTGTACCTATCAACAGGAAAGAAACAGAATGAATATCACTTTCTAAAGCACATTCCAGTGTCCACAGAAAAACAACTAGACTGGAAAATTTCTTCCCTAAAAAGGTAAAGATGGTTTATTCTAAATCAGCTAAGTCAGTCGTGGTGTGTAACTAAGCAGCCTTAAATGGGGGAGTTAACCCTCTCAGCTGGCATTTTATGCTTATCAGCCTAGCTCTGCTTTCAATGTTCAGGTGAAGAGCATAATCAACCATGCCACTGGCTAGACTGAAACATAATGGAAACTGGAATAACTTCTGAACGTCAAAGGTAGAGGAATATTAAAGGTGTTTTGCTCTTTTCGTGACAATCTTTTGATATTTGAACCTCAGATGCCATACAAGCTGAACCTGTTATTGCACAAGAGTGTAAGTATTACACTGTAAAGGTAATTCTGTTCTAAACCATCCTCATTAAAATGCTGCTCCCCCCATGTTGTATTATCTGAGAGGAGAGCAAAAGATTTTATAACCTTCATATCTACACATAACCATGTTTAGGTGTAAATAGACCAATATATAATATTAAACAGTATGTAAGCACCTGGAAAACTCAGTCTAGAATATTTATCAATTGCGTGTGTATCAATCCAAATATATCCGCTTACGTTTTTCTTATTTTGATTTGCGTCATTAGCAATACTCAATTGTACAAGTCGTCTCTCTTGCTTTTCTACATTTTCTGCAACATAACCAGTTCTAACAAATTCAGCCAGGTTGCTAACTTCTCCATCACTGAAGGTGCTCTCGAGCATCACTGGACCAGGCTGCGGTTCTCCACAAGTGCAAGGCAGCTGCAAAAGGATAGGATTGTATTAATGAACAAACTCAGAGCGGAACAATATTCCTATTGCATCTACTAAATACCAACAGCTAAAATACCTGTTACTTTTTTATAAAAGGAATCAAGTATACAATAAAATAGAAGTAATTTACAATCAAGTAAGTAAAAGATGGCTCTTTTTAATTATCAGCAAAATATAACTCTTTACTTCAGAATTAATAAGTGTCAAAGATTCACATTTGTTTTATAAAAAACAGACACAAGAATACAGATCGTCTGCTATAGTGGTAGGTTAATGTATTAGAATGCTTCTTAGAGTGCATGACAGCAGATTTCCATCCTTTGGAACTCTTTTAATACAATCGTATTAGTGTTGAAATGCAGATTATAGTTAATTAATAAACATTGACGTAGTAAAGGCAGTAAATGCTTAAAGGGCACACTATACAAAATTCTCACCCTTTCTCTGAGTTTTCTCATTTTCCTTTCTTGGACTGTGGTCAAGTAGTTCACAGCAGCGTACTCCAGCACAGAGAGAAAGACGAACACAAAACTAACCCACAGGTAAATGTCCACAGCTTTGATATACGACACCCTTGGCATGGAAGCATTGACACCAGTGATGATGGTGGACATGGTTAGAACTGTTGTTATACCTGTATTTACAGGAATAGAGGATGCTTTATAAATAACGTGGCTATTATAAAAAAGACACTGAACTTAAAAAATCAGCACTTAAGTGATGGCTTCACTCTGTTGTCACTGTAATTTGTATCTGCCAAATCTATCATAAACGTCTACTTAATGTCCTTTTCTCATGTCCTGCCTGATGAAAGTTATTATGATATAACAACTTTGTTATAACATTATATAAGTACCGTACTCATACATCAACTAAGTGCCAAAAGTCTCTGGAATATAAAGGATGCTTGCTCATTAGTCATTAAACTTCTCAACCCATGCTGGGGTGGGGTGAGTATTTATAATGGGAGGAAAATACATTATAACCCCACAACATGAACATCTGTAAATTTGACAGCAAACATAAATCATCAGTGCAGTTCACTACCTAATGGAACCCTGGCTGGCACGGCTCGGCGATCGATCCAGAAGGACACCCAGGACAGCATGACCATCAGCGTCGCCGGGAAGTAGGTTTGTAGCAAAAAGAAGAAAACGTGGCGATGCAGCGTAAAATTGATGTACAGACGATTGTACCAACCTATGAGTTGACATGGGCATAAATCTTGGAATTATACAATCATAGAATTAAACTGCACAGAAGGAGGCCAATCGGCCCATCGTGTCTGTGCCGACTCTTTGAAAAGAGTTATTCAAATCAATCCCACTCCCCCGCTCTCTCCCCATAGCTCTGCAAACTTGTCTTCCCCAAATAATGATCTACTTCTCTCTTAAAAGTTGTTATCGAATCGGCTTCCACCACCCTTTCAGGCAATGCATTCCAGATCTGAACAACTCACTTTGTGAAAAAATTTCTCCTCACCTCCCCGCTGTTTCTTTTCACAATATTTTAAATCGGTGTCCTTGGGTTACCGACCCGCCCACCAGTGGAAATAGTTTCTCCTTGTTCACCCTATCGAATTCCCTCATAATTTTGAAAACTTCTATTAAGTCTCCTCTTAACCTTCTCTGCTCCAAGGAGAATAATCCGAGCTTCTCTAACCTCTCCTAATAACTGAAGTCCCTTATTCCTGGTACCATCCTGGTAAATCTCCTTTGCATCCTCTCCAATGCCTTGACATCCTTCCTAAAGTGTGGTGCGCATAATTGAACACAGTACTCTAGCTGAGGCCTAACCAGTGTTTTATAAAGGTTCATCATAACTTCCTGACTTTTGTATTCTATGCCCCTATTTATAAAGTCTAGTATCCCGTATGCTTTATCTACCTGTCCTGTCACCTTCAAAGATTGACTTATATGAACCCTCAGGTCTCTCTGTTCCTTCATCCCCTTTGTCACCTCTTGGCTGGACTATTCAAATGCCCTCCTCGCCGGTTTTCCCTCCATAACCATTCACAAAGTCCAGGTCATCCAAAACTCTGCCGCCCACATTCTTACCTGCACCAAACTCCACTCCCCGATCACCCCAGTCCTTACCAGACTGCACTGGCTGCCTGTCCCAGAGAGGATCGATTTCAAGATCCTCACATTTGTCTTCAAATCCCTCCACTCCTCTGCACCCTCCTACCTCTCTGACCTCTTTTCTCCTCACAACAGTGCCCGCTGCCTTCGCTCCACTGGGTCTGGCCTCCTCCTTGTCCCCCAAATCCTCCACTCCACCATCGGCGGCAGTGCCTTCAGCCACTATGCCCCGAGGCTCTGGAACTCCCTTCCTCACTCCCTTCGCCTCACCCCCTCTCTTCCTATTTTCAGGTCTCGGCTGAAAACCTTTCTTTTTGACCGTACCTTTGGTCACCTTCCTCCCCCTCCCCCTGGCTCGGCCCCGGGATCCGTTACTGTGAAGCGCTCTGAGACACCGTCCAGTGTGGAAGGCGCTATATAAATTAAATCCAAGTCGTTATTGTTAAGATTGTACCCTCTAGCTTTTATTGCCTCTACTCATTCTTTCTCCCAAAATGCAACACTTCTTACCAGTCTGTCTATATCCTCTTGCAGTCTACTGCTATCTTCCTCACTGTTTATTACTTTTCCTAGCTTAGCATCATCTGCAAACTGTAATTGTACTCCCTATACCCAAGTCCAGGTCATTTATATAGATCAAAAACAACAGTGGTCCCAATACCGACCCCTGGGGGACCCCACTGTATACTTCCCTCCAGTCAGAAAAACAACCGTTTACAACCACTCTCTGCTTTCTGTCTCCCAGTCAGTTCTATATCCATGCTGCCACTGTCCCTTTAATACTGTGGGCTTCTATTTTGCTACAAGTCTCTTATGTGGCACTTTATCGAATGCCTTTTGAAAATCCATATAAACTACATCAAATGCACTGCCTTCATCCACCCTCTCTGTTACTTCATCAAAAATCTCTATCAGGTTTGTTAGACATGATTTGCCTTTAACAAATCCGTATTCGCTGTCCTTTATTAACCCATATTTTTCTAAGTGAAAATTTATCTTGTCCGGGATTATAGTCTCTAGAAGTTTCCCCACTGTTGACGTTAGGCAGACTGGCGTGTAGTTCTTGGGTTTATCCTTCTGCCCCTTTTTGTACAAGGGAGTAACATTTGCAACACTCCACTCCTCTGGCACCACCCCGGTGTCCAAGGAGGATTGAAAGATTGTGGCCAGAGCCTCTGTTATTTCCACCCTTACTTCCCTCAGTAACCTAGGATGCATCCCATCCGGACCAGGTGACTTATCTATCTTCAGCACCAACAACCTTTTTAGCATCTCCTCCCGGTTTATTATTTTATCCAATTTCTCTACCCTCTCCTCTGATAATATGGCATTGGCTGCATCCTCTTCTTTTGTGAAGACAGATGCAAAGTACTCTATCAGTACGTCAGCCATGCCCTCTGCCTCCACAAGAAGATTTCCTCTTTGGTCCCTAATTGGACCCACCCTACCTTTGATTAACCTTTTATTCTTTATATGCTTATAAAATACCTTTGGGTTCTCTTTTATGTTACCCACTAATCTTTTCTCAAACAATCTCTTTGCTCCTCTTATTTCCTTTTTCAGTTCTCCTCTATACTTTCTATATTCTATTTGATTAAATGTCAGTGCCATGTTGTATTAATATATTTCTCTTGTATTTTCTAATCAAACATGAATGTTATAAAGGAAGATATTTATAAACTCACATATTTACAGTAAAAGCTCAGACATTACATCAATATAGCTCCATGGATTACGTTTGGTGGGTGGTAGTGGGGTGGGGGGGGGGGGAGCTAATGTCACTGAAGTAGACGATCCCACATAAACTATCTGCTTACTGGTTATCTCTGAGCAGGAGAAACCACAATTTACTGAGCAGACATTCCACTTTGTATTCTTGTGGAGCATGTGAAAATCAATACAAATTCGCTTATTTTCGTGGCATATTTAGGTAATCTTTCTTGACCAACAAAAACGTACAGTACTAAACCATATATAGGATAATTATATATAGCATTCAGAAAGCACTGTAAAACTTACCCTATGTGTCTTATATTTCCAAATGGTAAAATTAAACAGATTTGATTGGAAAAGAGTGGCAGGCTAATAGTGTTCTCACAGCTAAACCATGGAGACATGTCGCAATAAGGTTTATAATGTGAAGGAAGACAGGCCTGGAAATGTTTGGTTGAATGCTGTACAATAAAAGGCACTGAAGTGTAAATGTAGAAAACACAATTTTACCTGTGCTACTGTAAAATGCTAGCTTTGTGGTTGTGTGAAATTCTTGGATCAGGAACTGAGACAAGGATATCTTTTCATCCGTCTTTAATGATTCATTCCCATTCTTCCAATACAGCATAAGGTCGTCATCAGTGTACGCATCTAGATAGAACAATGATGAAATGTGACAAGTTTTTAAGAGGTTTTGATACATAAAGTGAAGTATTTATTGGTAAAATGGCAGCATAGATGAATCTTCAGAATGTAGAGTGTATTTTCTTCAGAGATCCCCTATAAAGAATGTGGTTCAAAACCAAATTCTCATCACCTACATCAGATTTCCTGTCAGGGACACACTTTCGGTCCAGGTCCATGAGGTGCAATGACCAACTAATCTTAAAGATTATTGGCCGGGACAACAGGAGAAATTTCCTTCCTTTCCCAAATTGTGTCATGGGATCTTTAACAATTCACTTGAAAGACAGACAGAATTTTAATATCTTACCCAAAGGGTGAATCAAATGGAATGCTCCTCTAGAACTACAATACAATATCAACTTAGGCTGTGAGTTGAATATCTTAATGTAGGTTTGAAACCAGGTTCTCACTCAGCCCAATATCCAAATTTGTTTTGCAGGATCTTTGAAGTATCCTGTGGAAGCCCATACCTGCCAATACTCCTCGTGGATAAAAGAGGATGATGTGGGACTGAGTCATGATCCAAATTTGTTTCCTCTGTTCCTGTTGGAACGAGCCTACCGTTTGCTCTGTAACTTCCTTGGAAACTGAGAACTTGTCACAGAAAGAATCCCAGTTATAAAGACTCTACCTGAGCACTGTCACATCATGTCACAGTATCAAAGCACAGCATCTCAGCTCAACACTGAAAATATGTTCCATTTATTATTTGACATTTACCACTTTGTTCTTTTAAAGATCTGTAACCTTTCTCAACAGTCCATTCATCTAATTCTGATCCTCTGGTTAATTCAACATTGAGAACTGTTCCATTTTACCCTTTGAAGTAAATGCCAAAGCTGCAGTTAGTAAGGATTTCCGGTGAGTTCAATATGAAGGCAGTTATGAAGAGCTTATCTTAAAATAGTTCTAATAGCAGCATATGACTTACAGCTTTCAATTTCCAGTGAACAGCTCTGTGTGTCAAGAGGATAGCGACTGAAATCCATATTGCACATTGATGTCACTGTAATCCTGCAAACATATCAAACGTGTCAATGCCGCATGAGCTGAAAACACAAATAAAATGTGTCTGAACAAATATATATTTAACATGCTTGCCACTTCAACTCTCCCTCCCACTCGCACTCTGACATCTCCATCCAAGTTCTCCTATGCTGTTCCAATGAAGCACAGCGCAAGCTCAAGGAACAGCACTTAATCTATTTGCTAGGGACCTTACAGCCCTCTGGCCTCAATGTTGAGTTCAACCACTTCAGACCATAAGAACAGCTCCCATCTTCCCATCTCCCATGACAGCTTGCTTTGCCCTTCCCCCTCATCTGTGTCCACATCATCTGGGTCACAGGCACACCTTTTCTCTCTCTGGTCTGACTCTGCTGCCCTCCTATGTTTTGCATCATTAACACCTCTTTAACCCATAATCCTCTGTCCACCACCCCTTTTCTCTTTTGTCTTCCTTGCCCTGCCCATGACTCTGTTAGTCCTTAAAACTTCTCCCTCTCAACATCACCCAGTTCTGACGAAGGATAGTGGACTCAAAACGTTAACCCACTTTCCTTTCTCAATAGATGCTGCCTAACCTGCTGAGTGTTCCAAGTGATCTGTTTTTGTTATATATTTAACATGATGTTTTTGACGAAATTATGTGTAGGTAAAGGAAATGGAGTGAATGTTGTCCATATGGATTTCTGGAAGGCATCTGATAAGCTGCCACACAAGATATTTATTGAAAAAAATAAAGTTTTGGGAGAATGTTGCGGTTTAGATAGAGAGGTTGCTGAGGGTCGGAAATATTTTTTTCTGGTCTTGTAGTTGGTGATGTGCCTCAGAGTCTGTGCTTGGCTCTCTTTTATTTTCCATATATATACATATCTAGCTATCTAAATGATCTGCCCATGGGCATTCGGGACAAGGTGTCTGAATTTGCTGATAGTACCAAATTCAGTGGCATTACAAACTGTGAGGAGGAATGCAGAAGACTATATGGGGTTATAGAACAACAACAAGACTCCATTTATAGAGCGCCTTTCACATCGGGAGGACGTCCCAAGGCACTGGACAGTTGGGTCAGGACATGTTATAGACATGTTAATGGAATCGGCAGATAAATCGCAAATGAAAATCAAAGCAGACAAATGAGAATTCTTCCATTTTAGAAGAAAGAACAAAAACAAATCATGAATGCAAACCTTAGAGGTAGTACAGATCTACAGAAATGTTTTTAGGAACAAGGGGCCATTATAGGAATGCAGTTTTATAACAAAACATTATTGGAATGTAGTTGATTGGTTATAATAAAACCTTTAGCAAAGAAGTGGGGGCCAGGAGATTTTAGGGGAAATGGTATTTTTGCATGCCATGTCCTGTGCCTCAGAACTTTCCTATTAGACTATAAAATACATCTCTAATATCATACTTCCCTCCTCCAAGCCCATCTTTTTCCCCCGAATCCCTCACAAACTCACACTCATCCTCGGACCGTCTCTCCTCTGGCCTTCCACCCATAGTGATCCAGACACAGCCATCAAGCTGCTAAACGATCATTTCTCCTCAATTTTCAATTCCCTTGTCCCCTGGAAACCAGGTCCATCTCCAAGCCTATCCACTCGCCTGCTACAACAGTGACCTCCTCTCCCTCAAATCCCAAACCTGGTTGCTCGAGCACAGATGGCACAAAACCGGTCTCACGGTTCACCGACAATTGTGCCTCAAGCAACTTCATACCTACCGGCGCTCCTTCTCTCAAGCCAAAATCTCTTTCTATTCATAGATCATTCTCAAGGCCAAAGACAACCCCAAAATCATGTTCTCCACTACCCACCACCTTCTCCGGGCCCCCTCTCAAGAACCATCGATCCTCACTTCAAATGCCAAGTGCGAAGAGGTTGTGGACTTCTCTATCTCTAAGATAGATAACATCCACCTGGCTGCTCAACTCCCCCTCCTCTGCCCACTGCTGGCCGACACAATCAATCAATCCCTCTCTTCAGGGTCTGTTCCACTCTCCCTCAAATCCGCTGTCATCATTCCTCTTCTTAAAAAATATACCCTCGATCCCTCCAACCTCACAAATTTCAAACCCATCGCAAACCTGCCCTTCCTGGCCAAAATTTTGGAACGGTCATTGCAAATCAACTTTGCTCACACCTCTCCATCCATTCCCTACTTGAACTCCTCTTGTCCGGTTTTTGACCTGCCAACAGCACAGAGACAGTGCTCGTCGAAGTGACAAATGACGTCCTCTCTCTCTGTGAAAATGGCTCCCTCTGCCTCCTCATTCTCCTCGATCTCTCCGTCACGTTCGACACAGTTGATCATGCCATCCTCCTCCACCACCTCTCCTCCCTCATTCACCTTAGTGGGATTACACTCACATGGTTCAAGTCTTACTTAACAAAACACCAACAATACACCTCAGCAAATGTTTTTTCTTTCCGCCCGGTCATCTGCGGGATACCCTAAGGCTCCATCCTTGGCCTCCCTCTCTTCCTCATCTATATGCTCCCTCTCGGAGATGCTATCTGCAGACATGGGGTTAACTTCCACATGTATGTGGATAACACTCAACTCTACTTTTTGTCCAGCTGCGACTCCCAGTCTGCTGATGTTCTGTCAGCTTGTATGATGGACATCAAGGCTTGGACGAGCGCAAATTTCCTGAATGTCGGCAAGATGGAAGTCTTACTCTTTGGCTCAATCAAATGCAAAAATTATTATTATTATATTGCCTGCTTACCTCAAACTGTACAGTACATTCCCATCAGGATACACACGTAGCATAATGTTATCTGTGGTTGTGTCATGAATGAAAGACCTTTTGGAGTGAACAAAGAACATATCAGGGACCCAGATCTTTTTGACAAGTCTCCCATCGAATGTCATGCTCAGGTTGTTCGAGCTTGGAAACGCGAGCCTCTCATCTTTCCAGTAATGTCTCAGGTATAATGTTATTGTGTAGTCCTGGGAAAATAAATGGCAAAACTAAAGTAAATCAGCATTACATGAAGCTTGTTCCTACCCTAAAAGAAGAATTAAAACTAATTTGTGGTAATTTAGACAAACTGAAAGTTGAATCACCACATTAATCCATCATCCTACTTACTTTTAGAATAAAACCAGTTTACTAAACACTTCAACACATATCCACAAATGAATTCATTGACTTACCATATCCACTTCAGAAATGCTGTCCAGGCTTTCCACCTGGACATCTACACCAACAGGTATTGACGGACCTTTAAAGGGAAACAAAATTGTTGAATCATATAGTACAGTATTTTTTCCTGGTCAATAACAAGCCACTCGGCCCATTAACTCTTCACTGATATTTTTCTGCACAGTAGCTACCTCATCTATTCACTCCCCTGACCGCAGCAGAGCAGATTTATTTTGTATATTTGAAACGTTCTTTTTGAAAGCAGGTTTTGGTCAAAGATAAATTTGTCGCCCTGCTCCATTACCAAACTACCATGGTGCTTGATGTTAATTATGGAATGTAGCACCAATTGCTCCAGATCAGACAAAGACTGCAGTTAATCCAGATGTAACATTGTTGGCACATTCTCCTTCATTAAAGGGGTTTTGTTTTAACGCAGAGATAGATTGCTAATGTGAGGGAAAAACGCAAATTCAGCAACCTAAGAGCATAGCACATAACATTGAACTTACATTCTTTTACATAAGAAAACATCTCAAAGTACCTTTCATGGATACAAAAGTGAAGATAACAATCTACAACTCAGTCTTTTTAGAAACAGATTTAAGGTAACGTGTTTCATTCTCTTTGTTTATAATAGACTTATTTACTTGTCGGGGAATTTTTTTTAAAAGGAATACCATTGTCACTTGGGGAATAGCACAGAAATCATATTATTTTATCCAGGGAACAGATCAGGTGTCAGCCTGGATCAGTCGGTAACACTCCTGCTTCTGAGTCAGAAGGTTGTGGGTTCAAGCCTCACTTTGGGACTTGAATTACCAGATGATTTTGTTTTGGTGGGATTATTACCCACAACTGTTTGTAGGATACTGTTGTGCACAATTGGCTGCCGCATTTCACCCACAAAATACACAGTCAATCCACTTTACAATAAACTATGCAAAGCGCTTTGAAATGTCTCAACGACGTGATAAAGTGCTATATTAAATGCAAGGATTATTATTATTATGTATAAAATCCATCAATTACAGTACGGAATGTGTACATGTTTTTGCTTGACTTCTTGAATGCTGAAATTTCACTGGGCCTAGATTTACACTATTTTCTGAGAATTTCAGAGCATGTCAAATTTGGGAAAATTCTAAATTACAGCCTTAATTTTGAAACTTTTTTATGTGGGTTTTTCCAGATGCAGGGAAATTTCATGACTTATCAAATGCAAGGATTATTATTATTTATTATACATGGAACTCTCAGTCTGATTTTGCTTCTATTCATCATAGTAATAGGTTTCCACATGTGACAGACACCTGGCTACCAAAAAAAATTAGGAAAATTCAAAAGAAATTCACTGATTAAAAAGGAGATTAAAGATTCAAAACCATAGATTTAATTCCCACAGTCTATTTTAACGCAAAATGCAAAATAATAGTGCAATGCACATTCTTTCAATTTAAATAAAAGTACATTTTTTGGGGAAGTATCAATTATTTGAATGACCATCTGCCATTCAGAAAATTAAACAAATGACAGCAAAGTTTAATCCCGGACAGGAGTGAGTGAGATGAAATCGCCATTGTGGTTAGAGATCTAATTAACTGCAGTATGATAGAGAGGGGCTTTGTCTAATCCTAATGACAGTAATGACTCACAAACAAAGAAAGTAGGATCACAAATATACTGAAATGCAAAGCAATGTTATTGCCAAATATATGTTTTAATATTTCCAGGCAAAAATACCTGAAAGATTAATAGCCTTACCTCCTATGTAACTATAACATTTATTGGTAACTTCAAACTCAAGTATAATTTTGTCAAAGAAAGAACTTGCATTTTTACAGCATCTTATCGTGTTAATGTCTCAAAGTTCCTTACTGACCTCTATTGAAGGCAAACCCAACATTTTTGCACAAAGTATGGTCCCACAAATGACCATAAAGTGAATGACCAATTAATCTGGAGGTTTGTTGGGCAGAACACCAGAAGAAACTCTTTTATATTTTCAAATAGTGCCATGCTATCCCCATTGTCCACCAAAACAGATTATCGGACATCAGTTTAACGTTTCATTCACACCTCCAACAACATAGCTCTCCCCCAGTACTGCATAGCAATGTAAGTCACGACGATAAGCTCAGCCTCCAATGTGGGGCTTGAATAATAAAAATAATAATGCTTAGATTTGATATAGTGCCTTTCAGGTCGGGAGCACGTCTCAAAGTGCTTCACAGGATATACTGTAAAGTGCAGTGACTGTGTATTTTTTNATAGGGAAATGCCACAATGATAATCCACAACCTTCCAGCCCAGAAGTGAGAGACTTACCAATTGAGCAATGATAATAGCTCATCAAATGCGAAAAAGACCTTGATGAGGCTCAACTCAGGTTAAGGGGAGATATAATAGAGGTGTTCAAAATTATGAAGGATTTTGATAGAGTAAATAGGGAGAAACTATTTCCACTGGCAGGTGGGTCGGAAACCAGGGCACATAGATTTAAGATAATCAGCAAAAGAACCAGAGGGGAGATGAGAAGAATGTTTTTGACATGACAGTTGTTACAGTCTGGAATGCATTCCTGAAAGGGTAGTGGAAACAAATTCAACAACTTTCAAAAGGGAATTAGATAGGTATTTGAAAAGGAAAAATTTGCAGGAATATGGGGAAACAACAACAACTTGAATTTATATAGTGCCCATCACGCAGGATAGTGTCCCAGAGCGCTTGGCAGTGTCGGAGCACGACTCTACAACAACAACAAGATTCCATTTATAGAGCGCCTTTCACGTCAGGAGGACGTCCCAAGGCGCTGCACAGTTGGGTCATGACCCGAGCAGGGGGGAAATGGTCAGGGTGAGGGGAGGGAAGGGAGGGAGAGAGGAGGGGGGAAATGGTCAAGGTGAGGGGAGGGAAGGGAGGGAGCGAGGAGGAGGAAGAGAGTCGAGAGGGGAGCTGAAGGCACGGTCAAAGAGAAAGGTCTTGAGACCGGCCTTGAAGGAGGAAAGGGAGGAAGCAAGGCGAAGGCACTGGGGATGGAGTTCCAGAGCCTGGGGGCTGAGAGGCTGAAGGCCCGACCACCGATGGTAGGGCGGTTGGGGCGGGGGACGTGGAGCAGACCGGAGCCAGAGGAACGGAGGGTACGGGCAGGTAGGTAGGGGGATAGTAGGTTGGAGAGGTAGGAGGGAGCTGGGGGGAGGGGGATGTGACCGTAGGCACAGTCAAATAGGAAGGTCTTCAGACTTGACCTGAAGATGGGGAAGGAGGGGATAAGCTGGAGGGAAAGCAAAAGAATGATCTAGAGTTTTGGAGGGTAGTGGCTGAAAGCTTGGCCACCAATGGTGGAACGGAGGGCACAAGGGACATGCAGAAGGCGAGTCGAGCGGAGTCGAGCGGAGGCAGCAGGTTGTGAGGTGATCAGGTCGAAGAGGTAGGAAGGTGCCAGGGCATGAAGGGATTTGAAAACAAGTGTGAGGATCTTGAAATCGACCCATTCAGATGGGGAGCCAGTGGAGCTTGGCTGGAACTGGTGTGATGGGAGTACAGAGTTTAGTACAGGTGAGTATGCAGGCAGCGGAATTTTTGATCATTTGGATCCTGTGCATGTTGGGCCAGTAACCAAAGGAGCAGAAAAGGTTCCATTTCACAAAGATCGATGTGGTTTTTCCCTGTAAATATGAGAGTAGGATTCGCTCTCTCTGAATACCTGGAACAGATTAGTGGCTGTTGCTTACTTCAATAGAGGATTATTATGATTTGGCCGAATTGCTTTACTATTATACTATCTGTGTTGTATGTTATATACACAGCTAAGTTATCCTGTACATATTCAAGGAATTAAAATATATAGTCAATTCACTTTACAGTATATTCTGTGAAGCACTTTGAGACATCTTGAAGACTTGATAAGGCGCTATATAAAATGTAAAGATTATAGTTATTATTATTACTATTATTAATTTGAATGTACCGTCACATAAGTGTCCAAAAGGGGAAATAGGGACATATTCATTTTTGATATTGTGTGTTTCTACTCTAAAGAGGTAGATATGAGCAAGTACAACAATAACAACAACAACAATGACAGCAACTTGTATTTATATAGAGCCTCGGAGCAGAGGGCAACCCCCATTCAATGCCACCCATTTTAGCTCAATTCAACTTTGTTTATGGCGCCGGTCTCCTGTTGACCATGCTAACCTGATACATGGTAGACCTGGTTTCTGGTGCTGATTAGCTGGCTTCTGGATCATCAGGTTGCCACTGACTTCACAATAATGCTGTTATGCAGGAAGCATCCCTGTGTGTGTGCACCATGCGCAGGAAGCTCCACTGCACACACACACGGTCACGTTAGCATTGCGGCACTTCCTGCACATAGTGAAGTCTATAAAGTCTTAATTTGGAAGCCTGTTGACTTGATTGGCTTAATCCCTGGCACTGACATCACTAACACGATCACACACAATATACACAATAAGAGGGCAGCAGCGATGGTACCAAACCAGTGTCTGGGAAAGGAAGTGAGAATTGAATACAATAAAATTTACACTTAGATAGCATGTTTCACGCTGGGAGGATGTCCCAAAGTACTTGATAATTCTGGCTGTGCACCGGAGCTGAAGTGGGGTTGGGGGTGGGTGGGGTGAGGTCGGGAAAGATGACTGAAACTCGGTCAAAGAAATATGTTTTGAGACATACTTTGAAAGAGGGGAGGGAGAGAGGGAGAGGGGTAGGATTCAGGATTAAATAGAAGAAAATGTTTTGAAAATATATTTTGCTCAGTATTTTTCCAAAGTTAAGAACTTTGCAACACTTCATGTGTAATCAGCTGATCTGGTTGAATACTGTAATATAAACTATTTAATTCAGCAGGTAATTAAAACAATAATCCATCTTGTAGAATGGATAACAGAATAGAATTTAATAGAATGGATATTCCGCTCCATATTATAAATTCCCCAAATTACAAACAATAGATCTAGATACAGACATCTCTAGGTTCTACCTCCAAATCCAGGTCTCATTGTAAAATCATGATCTTCCACTTTGAGAAGCTGTTCAGATTTTGTCAGTCGAGATTTGGTTCTGTCCAGGCTTCTCTTTGATATGGAACTGTAAGGAAAATAGAATTAAGTTCAAGACAATAGAGTGATTGATCCATGGATGTCAGCAGCTTTGAGTGGCTTAATCTAGAGATTCCTTGACACTGACATTGCTAACAGATGGATACTTTACCCAAATCTACCTAATGCATTTTTGATATAGAGCCTAGACAGAAACTGTATGTAAGCAAGCTATTCAACCATGGCAACATCTCTGCCAAGGCTGACTCTGACCTCATCCAAAGCCCGTACAAAATTGCAAATCCAGTAGAACTACTGCATAGTAATCATAGTATCATAGAAATTTACAGCGCATAGGAGGCCATTTGATCCAAATCCTCAATTTGGTTTATATTGAGACCCAAACCCTCAATCGAGTCTGCACCGTCTCTCAGACCAAGCCATTCTTTCAATCCAACTGGCCCTTCAAGCCTCGCAGAGACAACAATCCTGTCTAATTTTTCCTGGCTAGGAAGAGTATACTTAACCCGCTCCTAGATCAATTACCTCAACACAGATTAGGGATTAGACTTCACAGAAAGAAAAACTAAATAATAATAATCATTCTTGAATTTGATATAGCATCTTATGAATGTCAGAAATGAGTCAATCCTATGTGGTAGTGGTCTTGGTAGTCTGGTTCCTGAGCTAGGAGGGTCTGCAGGACTCCAGGGCACTGCTGATGCAACCCAGTCAGCCAAACTCATTGGCAGGACTTGAACGGGCAGACTGGTCAGATTTGCAGACTTGAAAGAGCAGGAATTCTTCCCACTTAGTTTCTATTTACCCTGCAAGTAAATGCCCTAATGATAGGGTAGTCCTAGCTGGACAATTAACCAGACAGTGCTTTCAATGGCAAGCTGTGCACTTTCAGCTGGTTAGCAGAAACCCATCACACACTCCTCAGTGTCCTCAAGCCTTGGCTATTGGCAACTTGTACCCAATACTCTCTGGAATTAGGGAACAGGATGGTCCCTCTGGGGAGGAAGTGTGCATTCTATTATAAACATGGGAATTTCTATATATAGGTGGGATGCAGTCTGTTTGGGTTACTTTTAAGCATGATGTTGGGTTTCCACATGTGTTAGACTCTTGGCTGACTAAAACAAATAATCAGCTTTTCAACTGTCACAAATCTGAAATGCATACATTTGCAGAAACCAAGTCTATAGCCTTTTTAACTAGAATAAAGCAGTACCAGGTCAACACTACAGTCTGTGAGTAGAAACTAATTGTGAGCAAATTGTTATTCAAAGACAACAGTTTCTGCAGTCAAATAGTCTGGTATCTGATGATAAACAATCTGAATGATTTGCATCCTTTAGCTCTTGAGTTTTGGGATTCATATCTCTTTTTAACAAAATTGTAATTACAATTTGTATGCTGCTCTAGTGTCAGTTACTAAGGATCAATGACTGACTTAAGGATGTGATGAAGGAATGTTACCTTTGAAGCTCTGTTAATCAGAATCAGAAATCAGAGAATTTTACAGTTTTATACCATAAAATTATTTACTACATTTCAAAGTAATGTGTTTTATTAAACTCTTTTGAGAGGTGTGGCCATTTTAAGCCCCAATATTAAATGCAATTGTTTTTATTATTTATTACAAATATGATTATTTTTCAAATGAGTTACCATAATGGTTAGATAGACATATTTTTTACTAGAATTCATTTATGACAGTCCACATTGACCAGGAGATGACTAGCTATCAAAATTCTCTTCTGTTTAAGAATGATATGCAGTAGGTGATAATGTGCATGTAGCTAGTGTAATTACAGCCTTCAATAGTTGTTGGAAAATTTGATTCTAGACTTTAAGTGTTAGATGATGAAATAACCTGGAATGCTTTATCAAAGAGGGGCATTGCAGAGAAAATTCAAAGTGGTGGAGGTTCATTTGGAGTATAAACACATGCATTCACAAAGGCCATATGGTCTGTTTCTGTGCAGTAACAATCTATACATTTGTATATCTATATAAAAATGAGTTAGAAAGTTATGGGTTCAAGCTCCAAACCAGGACTTTAAACTCTCATTCTAGGCTGACACTCCAGTGCAGTGCTGGGGAAGGTGCCTTCCTTTGGATGTGGCATCAAAACAAGATTTGATGCCTCATCCAAAGGAATCTGCCTGTTCGAGTGAATGATAAAGATCCCACAGCCCTACTGTATGTGAAAAGAGAAGGGAGTTTCTCCAGGTGACCTGGCTGACAATCCCTCAAATAAAACTGATCATTCATCTCATTGCTGTTCATGGGACATTTCTGTACACATATTGGCTGCAACTTTTCACCAACAAAAATACAGTACTCCACTTTACAGTAAACTCTGTGAGGTGCTTTGTGACAATCTCCAGCCCTGAATGACGCTATATCAAATGTGAGAGTTATTATTATTATTATTTATCCTAACATTTACACATTCCTAACTCTCGGAAGAACCAACTCTCACTGCAGTGCTGTAGTCCCATCCTGCTGGTAGATTCACTCCACTCAGTTTGTTATTCTTTTCAACTGAAAATGAAGGGTATTGCAAGACCCCAATGAACACTTCATTGAAATATTTTATTCAAATCAACAAGTCACCCTCAACTACACAACCACTAGATGCCTACACAGAACAAATAGGTATAGTTTAAGGACTAATTATTTAAATAAAAGGTAAAATAATGCAGATGCTGAAAATTTGAAATAAAAAGAGAAGTCTCTGGGAACACTCAGGTAGGTCAGGCAACATCTATAGAGAGAGGAAAGTGAGTTAGTGTTTCAGGTCGATGATCTGATATCAGGTAATTCACCAGAAACATCAACCTGACCCAATTTGGACTTCGTTGTGCATATTTCAATAACCTTTGCCATTAAATATTGTGGAGTTTGCCATAAAACTACTTGTGGAGTCCTGTTGCTCAGTGGTTAGAGCACTCACCTTGCAAATGAGAGACCTGGGTTCTATTCCCGGCAAGGCGAAATGTTGGGCAAGTTTCCTTACTCCACACTCCTGTTTTCAGCCTCTCCGCCCCCACACTCTGGAACTCCATCCCATGATCCCTTCGCCTCGCTTCCTCCCTTGCCTCCTTCAAGGCCGGTCTCAAGACCCTTCTCTTCGACCGTACCTTTGGTCTCCTTCCCACCTCTGCCTTCTCTCACCCCTAAACCAACCCTCCCCCATGCTTGGGCCCCAACACTTCAGCACTTTGGGACGTCCTCCCGATGTGAAAGGCGCTCTATAAATCTAATTTTGTTGTTATTGTTGTTGTTGTTGTTTACCTAGTAGTAAGTAGGAACCCGGTTATTAGTCAATTGGCAGATCACTTTTTCAGGGATAATAATAATAATCCTTGCAATTGTTGTTGCTGTTGTTATTTTATATTGTGCCTTATCACATTTTCTAGACGTCTCAAAGCGCATATTCCTTAAAAAAAGTAATAATTTGGTCGCTCAATCCACGACTGTTTGTGCGACACTGCTATGTGCAATTGGCTGCCACGATTTGCCCACAAATATACAGTCAATTCACTTTACAGTACATTCTGTGAAACACTTTGAGACATCTAGAAGAGGTGAAAAGCGCTATAACAAATGCAAAGATTATTATTACTATTGTTAAAACAAGAGTCAGTATGCAGATATATGGTCTCTTGCAGACAGAAGAGACAGCATATTTGATCCTAAGCAGCCCTATCTCACACCATCAGGTGCAATCCTAAATTCTCATAGGATTTGGCAAGAGTCTCCTCTCTGCTTATTTCTCAACAGACATAAATTCACTCCAAGTGAAAATCAGGCAATTTATACTCAAAACCATGCCTTCAGTGCACAGTAATGGGCAGACATATCATCCAACTCAGCAGGAACTTTCTACCAGATGATTTTATGGCAGGAATTTTGCTCCACTGAGGACAGGGTTTAGGTCATTTTTAATGCTGAGAAAGGGATGTTTTCAAAGAAAAATTGCTTCCAAGTTGCTCTTAACATAGTCCTAAGGTGAGAGGTAATTATGTGGCAAGGAATCATAGCAATTAACAAGGCAACACAGTAGGATGGCATCCTAGTGTAGCCATTGACCCATGGCTACAGATCCATTGTACCAGGTTCAATGTTTGCTCCTCCAATGAAGCCAGCTATCAAAGATTTACAAAGAATGTACAGCACGGAAACAGCCACTTTACCCAACCAGTCTGTACTGGTGTTTCTACTCCAGCCTCTTTTAGATCCCCTAGTCACTATCTTCTTATGTGGCACTTTGTCAGAAACCTTAGTAAAATCTGAATGTATAATATCCACTGGGTCCCCTTATGTTTTCTTATAAAAAACATAACATTTTGCCTCTGCTCTCCCCAGGTATTTCACAAAATACCCACTAGAAAGCATCCAATACTATCTTATTAAGCAGTCTATTATGGTCCTGGTGTCCATCACCTTACTGTCAATAATCACTATTTATGTAAAATATCCTCGTATCAAACTCACCAAGTTGCTTAACAAAATGCTATGCTCCTGAAATAAATCAATTTCTCCTTTAAGGTCGCTCCATTACATCCTGCTCTGCCTTTTTGCTGCGGGCATATTTATCAAAGCCCTTCACCTTTTTTTTTACATTTTCCACAGGCTTGATTGTATTCTCTGTTTGGGGTTTCCTGACTAATTTGTTTGCTTCTGTTAACTTCTATATTCATCTATAATTTGGTAGGATCAATATTTTATGCACAAGGAGAGCCCTTTCTTTGCCCTTGGTGTTTCTTCTTTTCCAATATTTAGTTGTTAAGCATGAGCCTCTTTAAGGCCCTGGGAATCAGTAACGTGTGAAAGCAAAGACAAAGCACCCTTTTGATGATGTCATGCGAAGGGGTTCCCTTGGAGGAGATTCTCTTCCTGGCAATGGTATTAGCTGATTGAATAGTTTTCAGATCTTTATATGCCCACGTTTTGTATAT